CCATAGTCGTCGGCGTGTTCACTACCAGACTGGTATGGAACGGAGTGCCACGTGTCATGGCTAACTTGAAGGCTTGAACCGCTGTAGAAGGGTGGCATTCGATCACCATACTCTTAGTGAGATTAAACCTGGTGAGAAAAGCCTGGAGACGTTCATCTTTGTGCTGTCTCATTGTGAATAGGCTTGAGATGTCCTTTGGTGGACGCTTGTTCCCATAGTACTGGCTTATAAACCGATCGCACAGGTCTCGGAAGCTACCAATGGAGCTCCTAGGCAAGTTCTTGAACCAGCTGAGCGCCGGTCCAGCTAGGCTTGTAGGGAAACATTTGCACATTAAAGCGTCGTTTTCCGTATTCGGGGCCATCTTCAACTGGATATGGTACACATGATCGATCGAATCGGTTGTTCCATCAAACAGAATAAATACTGGCATAGCAAACTTCCTTGGATGCGGGGCATTCAGGATCTCGTCAGTGAATGGTGAATCAAGCGTTCGAGCAGCGGATCGGAGTGCTTCATTCTCTCTTTGGCGCCCAGTGGTAGCTCTGTGAGCTACGGTTCTGCTCTCCGAACCGCGATGAGTGATTGTAGCCATGGAGGGCCGGTAGGACGGATCGAACGACTGTTCCTCTATGAGCTCTCTTTGCCAAGGCGACGCAACTTGGCGGCGATCAACCTCTATCACCTCCTCTCGGTTGAACCTTTCCCGATGCGGATCGAAGGTCATGGCTTCGTTCTGTCTGATCTGCTCATGTCGCGGATCAACGTGAGTCGATCCTTCGTGATCCTCAACTCGACGAGCATTTGGCGGCAAATCATCCATCCTCCTTTCATCACGGTGGAAAGCTGACTGACTGTTCTCGTCCTGCTCGCCTTAATGCGCGATATTAGATTGAACACCTCCTTCACCGGCCGGAGGTGGACGCGAAACCGTGGGCATTTGCTGATGTTGCATTCCAGCTTTCAATTCTGCATTCTCTTTTTTGAGAGCCTCGATCAAGTTCATCAACTCCTCAAGCTTCGTTTGCTGGACAGCCTCCATCGGATTGGAGCTTTCACCTATAATTATTCCTGAACGGAGTAAAGGCATTAATCTCAAGTTCGTGAGTAGATCCGAGCTTCGTGAGTGGGAATTTTTCAAATCTGGTTTCGAATTCTCCGAATTATGCTCACGGTTGACGAGATCTGAATTGTCCGAATTCTAAATCCGTCAGATCCTGCCACAATCGAACAACTCGTTGTTGCGTAGATCTGAAGCCACTTCTGCCAAAACAACAGGAACTAAAATTCCTCCAGAGTAGGTCACAATCGCTCAGATCTGGATCCAACTCCCAAAGATCGAGTCTCGATCCCCCGGATTGGTCTGAATCCACGCGATATTAATCATTGATCAACCAATCTTCCACGCTTCCCACTGACGGCGCCAATTGAAGATACAAGAAATTCCTCCTCTCTTTCTCTCTCTAGAATTCTTGCATTTCAACCAAAAAAATATCTCCCCCTCTTCTATCCATTACTTCTCCTATTTATAGATATTTACAAATGTTGATGGACTGCTGGATCTAGGCCCGTTCCTCCATGAGTTCTGGTCATCTTTGATGGGCTTATTCGCGTTCGGCCCATATGGCAGTGTCTTTCTATGGGCCTGACCCATCTATACGGACTGGATGTCGCGTTTGCAAGTCATACCCGGCCCATGTCACTTCGGGCCTCCTCAATAACAATATTAAAGTAACAAATAAATTTCATTAAAAGCAAAGTTGCAATGGTAAAGAATTGAAAATGGGAGAAAAAAAAAAAACGAGCAAATCTATTTCAACAATAAATAAATTGTGGTCTTAAACGGGGCGGGGCGGGTACAATAAATGCGAGAATGTTGTAGAAAAAATAAAATAAAATAAATAAATAAATAAATAAAATAAGTAGTGAATTAAGTTATCAAATAATTATTTTAAAAATGGACAAAAGATGTGATATTGATGTCTAAGTATACCGTTAGAGAGGTGCTTCATTGAATCATGTGTGTTAATAACAAATTGTACCTTTGGGAAGACGTGTGTGTGTGTCTATATATATATATATATACTAGGCCTAGTATATATATATATATATATATAGTGTTTTAGTGCCCAACTAGGAAAGCCCATGGACCAAATTTAAATCTCACTTTATGATTAGATTTCCAAGAAGACTTCATGTCATCACACACACAAGGAACAGTGTCACATTCAAACATTTGGCATTTACAAGTCCAACAGAGTGCGAGTTGCTTAAATTTTAGTACTCCCTCCACCGTCAAATAGAAGTCCATTTTTCTTTTTTTTACATTTTTTAAATTAATTGTCCTTTTTAAAAAGTCAAAGTATTTTTTCATTATATTTTCATCATAATCTTTTATCTTTTTAAAAAAATTCAAACTTTGTAACTATATATATTTAAATTAAAAAAGATAATTTGGTAATTTTAAAAGAGGACAATGCATTAATCGCATGTATCCTTAAAAACTCCAATTTCTAAATTTGGACTTCTTTTTAGGGACTAAGAAAATACTAAATTAATTGACGGACGACATTTTTAGTACTAAATTAATTCTTTTAATGACCACCTTTATATAGTTTGTTCCATGTAAAACAACTTTTTGGCTTTGTAGGGTTTATAAAGAAAAGCCAATGGCTCAAACTAAAGTTCGGTCAAGGAGAACAATTTGAAATATGAAAATGTCCCTTGGCACCTGCAAAAGGTGAAGAGTCACAACTGACATTTCAAAAGGCATCGAGTCCGATACCTCTAAAAGGTGTTAGAAATCGGTAGGTGAAGAAATGTCGACACTCGACACCTCTTGAAAATGTCATCGGCCGATAGCATGACATCTTGAGTAGTCCAAAAAAAATAAAGTGAAAAAAAAACACACACACACTACAAGGGTATATATAAGTCATTTTAATATAAAAAGAGAGGTTGCCAATGTCTTTGCAAAATTCTGAGGGCAAATAAAGCATTTCTTGTTGAAAATTTATGTGGTTGACTAGGGTTGATTATTATTATTATTATTATTATTATTTTTTTTTTTGTTTTTTTTTTTTTTTTTTGAAGTTAAAACAACGAAAATTGAGCAATGCTATAGGATCCTGTTTTTATAAAACGCTGCAAATATATTTATTTTGGCAATGCTATCCTTTTAGTCACCCTCCTCACTTAAACCATATCAAAAGTGTCATTAATACATTAAATTATTAATATCAACACAAAACTACTTTATTTCTTTCATTTGCCTCTACTTCCCACCCCATTACATGTTTCCTACTTTCAATAGGACATTAAATTATTAATTTCAACACAAAACTACCTTATTTTATTAATTTCAACACAAAACTACCTTGGGCAAATGAAAGAAATAAGGTAGTTTTGTGTTGATATTAGTAATTTAATGTCTTATTGAAAGTAAGAAACATGTAATGTATTAATGACACTTTTGATATGGTTTAAGTGAGGAGAGTGACTAAAAGGGTAGTATTGTCAAAAATATATATATATTTTTAGTGTTTCATAAAAATAAGAAACATACAATTAATAAATGCATTAATTACAAATCTTAGGACCAAAGAGAAGAGCCACTGTTAATTCACAGTTGCTAAGGCACTGTAATTAATGCACAAGTTTCTAACTTTTTATGGAATATTAAATTATTATTTTTTTAATACAAAACAACACTTTTAAGCCTTTTTAAGCCTTCATCCATCTCCTCCATTCTCACTTGACGACTTTTACATATATAATGTATATATGCATATATATATATATATATAAAGCATTACTTTCCTTTTTTTTTTTTTTCTCCTTGTTTGATCTGTATGCCAATATATGTATATATATATATATATATATATATATATATATAAAGCCTTACTTTTATTTTCTTTTCTTTTTTTTCATTTTTTTTCCTTGTTAGATCTGCATGAGTTACTTTCCTTTTCTTTTTGCTTATTAGATCCGGATGCCAGTTTATATATATATATATATATATATTTATTCTCTATATATTTATTCTCTATATGAATTCTTGGTTGAGAGGATTGCATATATATATATTTATTCTCTATATGAATTCTTGGTTGAGAGGATTGCATATATATATATTTATTCTCTATATGAATTCTTGGTTGAGAGGATTGCATATATATATATATATAAAGGTTAAACAACAATTAAAAATAAAAGAGAAGAAAGAATACACTCACATAATGTTAGCTATTTTTATACATATGAATTCATGGTTCAGAAGACAAGTAACGCTATATATATATATATATATACACACACACATACATACATTATATATGTAAACGGCATTATGTGAGAACTGAGGAGAAGGATGAAAGGCTTAAAATGACAGTTTTGTTTTTAAAAAAATAGTTTTAATATTTCATAAAAAGTTAGAAACTTGACAATTCTACCCACCAATGAGAACACTATCCTTAGCATTCCTCAATTTATTTATTTTTGAAGTTAAAATAACTAATATATGAAATGGGAGTTCAAACCTGGATCATTTGGCGACAAGCCCTCAAACACTTTATCAATATCCTATCACACCACACCCTGAAGATCCATACTTAAAATGAGATTTGTGTAGGCCTTGCGTGAAAGGGAGGTTTGTGATCCACAATTGAAGTTTTTTCCACCTCATAGACTTTCTTGCCCCATTTCTAATGACAAATCAAAAGAATTACCCTTTTTAGAAACACTAATTCCCAACAGTCGTGCCATGATAAAAAAATATAAAAAAAATAAAAAGGAATTTTCTACTCCATTCCAAAGATGTTGACATTTTGAAGAGAGGGTATTAATTCCCTACCATAATTGCCCAACTACAAAGGCTAAGATACTCCAAATTGCTCGTAGTTGTCAAAAATTTAATTCACTTTATTATGATTAGATTTCCAAGACGACTTTCATTTCATCATCACCCACAAAGGAACAATACTACATTAAAAACATTTGGCATATACATGACCAACAACAATCCTACGGTGACCTAGTTAGCGTAAACCTAGGGTGGCCGAATCACTAAGTAGTGGGATGCCTTACGCCACATTGAACGGCGTACACTTCTCTTCATTCATAACAGCCTCTCATCAATTTAAAGGCACACACTCATTTCTCATACTATGTGAATGCCCCTTCATTTCTGTAGTAGTTCATCACCATGGACGCCCAAACCCACCAAAACTTGCCGGAAACCGCCGCTCACCGGCAACCCACATCCGGTTTTCCGTCCAACCTCTTGCACAGAGTCAAAGAGAATCTGGTTTTCAAGTCAAAATGGGCCGAATTGAATGGTGCAATGGGGGACTTGGGCACCTACATTCCCATAATGTTGGCCTTGACACTAGCCAAGGACCTAGACCTCGGCACAACATTGATTTTCACCGGCGTCTACAACATTGTCACTGGGGTCACATATGGTGTCCCAATGCCCGTCCAACCCATGAAGGCCATCGCCGCCGTGGCCATATCCAACCCCGATTTCGGCATCCCGGAGGTCATGGCGGCCGGGATATGCACCGGTGGGATTCTATTCGTACTGGGTGTCACAGGGTTGATGCAGCTAGTGTATAAGCTGATTCCACTGTCTGTTGTTAGGGGGATTCAGCTAGCACAAGGGTTGTCATTTGCTATGAGTGCAGTCAAGTACATAAGAAATGTACAAGATTTTGCCAAGTCAAAGTCTAGTGGTGAGAGGCCTTGGTTGGGGTTGGATGGGTTGGTTTTGGCTCTTGTTTGTGCTTGTTTCATAGTGATAGTGAATGGCGCTGGTGCTGGTGATGAAAAGAGTGAAGAAACAGAGTCCAGTAGTACTACTGAAGACAGGGTTGGAACGAGGAGGGACAGATTGAGAAAGATGTTATATTCTCTTCCTTCAGCTTTCAGTATCTTTTTGTTGGGTGTGGTTTTGGCCATTTTAAGAGGGCCTAAAGTGGTAAAAGGGTTCACATTTGGGCCATCTTCTATTCAAGTTGTGAAGATATCTAAGCATGCATGGAAGGAAGGGTTCATCAAGGGGACAATCCCTCAGATCAGTTTGTCAATCCTGAATTCTGTCATCGCCGTGGGGAAGTTGTCGTCGGACCTTTTCCCGGGAAAGGATTTCTCAGCAACGTCGCTGTCGGTGACGGTGGGACTAATGAATCTGCTGGGGTGCTGGTTTGGGGCCATGCCATGCTGCCATGGTGCAGGGGGGCTTGCTGGGCAGTACAAGTTTGGCGGGAGGAGTGGTGGGTGTGTGGCACTTCTAGGTGCAGCCAAGTTGGTTCTGGGATTGGTCTTGGGGAGCTCTATAGTGAAGGTATTGGACCAGTTTCCTGTTGGGGTCTTGGGGGTTCTGTTGTTGTTTGCTGGAATTGAGCTAGCCATGTGCTCAAGGGACATGAGTTCTAAGGAGGAGTCTTTTGTGATGCTTCTGTGCACTGCAGTTTCGCTCGTCGGCTCGAGTGCGACCCTCGGCTTCTTGTGTGGGATTGTTGCACATTTGCTTCTTAGGCTAAGAAAATATAGTAAAGATCAATCTTGTTCTATGGTGTGGATGCATGGAAATCCATAACTAATGTATAGTTGCATCTGTAATTTGTGAATAAAGAACCTAATCCTTGTACACCATTGCAATGGTTTTCTTTACTTGCTGCCAAACACCCCCTTTTGGGGAGATGAAAGGGTCAAATAAAGGAAAATGAACAAGAAAGAGCACAATGAGCCATAGTAACCATGGTTCGTTGTATCCACACGTGACTCTTTTTCAAGTCCAATAAGCAATTCGTATCAATCAGTTTATAGTGATTCTGTCCGAGTTTATTGTACTACAACCATAATTGATACTGCGAATAACTTAATCCAATAAAATGATTCGATGTACCAAACACAACCATAGACACCATTTTGTCTAAAGCTTCCACACAGATACAACATTGCAAGAAAGAGCACAGTGAGCTATTGCCTATGCACCTCTCCATTCTCTTTCTATCCATCAGGTCCTGACATTGACATATACAGAGATTGTTGTGTAGAAAACAAAGACAAAAAAGTGGCTGTCAATGGACGAACAAGCAGGATTTGAGAGAAATTATTACATTTTCTCAGCAAAACTCAACACGTAAGCAAATATGTCAGTTTTATTTAGATTTTTGTTTGCGCACGTTGTGATTGGTTGGGACCATGTAAAATTTCTCGAACCTTTTGTTATAACTGAAATGTTGCACCAAAAGACTAAGATTATAGGACAAAGAATCCATGAAGTGCTCATTAACTGTGTGTATTTGACATACAGGAAGTATGACTATGTTTTACCTGCAAACAGCATCTGTGCTAACTATGTTGAGTGCATACATGTATTCTGCTGATTTCAACATTTGTATGATCTAGTTGAAATTTCCAACGACAGTTAAAAATCAAAATCAACTAAAAACACACATTTCATTCTGAAATCATTTTCAACACCCCCTACTAGGTTCCTTTGTGTATTATTACATTTCTCTTCATTGTTTCTCATGTCTTCATCTCTTCTGGCAAGTAATGATAAAAATAAAAATCAACTAAATATACACATTTCATTCTGAATATATATTATCATTTTCAACATCCCCTAGTAGGTTCTTCATTGTTTCTCATGTCTTCATCTCTTCTGGCAAGTAATGATAATAGCACACACGCACGCACACACACAATCTTTGACAAGAAGTCCCATAGCTATGGTTGTGGAAGCAATAGCGACAGTAGCCTAATGCAAATTACAGAACCTTGCTGAGGAACAAGACAACAGAATTATACACATAAAAGAAAGAATGGAAAAGAAGCATACATGTTGATCTAACTGCAAGAATAACAACACATACAGGAATGGCATGATCTCGAAATTTACATTGGTTACTAATATATGTGCTCATGTACTCCTTCAAATTATATCTATACTCGAATCCTTTCCATTGACCAGAGAAGTTGAAGATGAAGCTCTTTATTCACACGGCATGTTACAATTGACCTTCAAGAAGATAAACAACCAGCCCTCTCAACAGTTTTTTTGGGGGTTGAAACAGAGAGATTATGTTGACAAGAAAATATAAAGGTGTATCCATATAACTATTCAAATGGGTTTCCACCTCTTGGTGAAAAGGAATTTGGAGTAGCGGGTGCTGGATATCTGCCACTGGGCTGTTGCATTGTGTTTAAGAAGGCAAAAGCAGCTTCACTACTACCAAAGTTACCAATTCCTTGCGGTCTGCAGTGACAAGAAGTAAATATAAAAATTTCATATGCCGAAGTTTTCTGAGAAGCTGAACTGTTGGAAATGCATTTTGAATGGAGCATGTTCTTAGAGACTCTTTATTTTACCGTTCCCCTTTCTTCATAAAAAGGATCATGCCTAGTCGATTGTAAGGCATTTGGCTGCTCTTTATTTTTTTTCTTTGTTTTTCCTTTCCTGAAGGAAAATGTTTCTTTCTTTAAATGTTTATATAACACAATGTATTATCTAATAAAGAATGGGCCAACAGCCCAAAATTAGTAGATTGGTGAACTCAATATATTTGTAGCCTCATTGGGAGCAGGACGGATATGCAGAGAAACTTTCTTAAAAGGAATATCATTTAAAATAATAATAAAAACTAAAAAAAATGCACTGTAAAACAAAATTTACCTGAAAGGTGGTGTGCTATTCGGTAATTGTTGCCCAATGAATGTTCCTGGGATTATTGAATTAGAAATTAGCAAAAAATATGAAAAAAGAAAAAAAAAAAAATATCAAATCAAGACAAGTTTACAGGAAAGTGGAAACAAATGATAATGATGTGATTTTACTTGGAGGCATGGCCATTCCATAAGAAGGTGATTGTGAAGGCACTGCAAATGCAAAAGGTGATGATTGAGGCTGCATAAACTGGGGGGGATGGACACCGAAGCTGGAACTATGCAGTAACCCTTTAGGAGCTGATACCATCGGGAGTGCTCCTTGCAAAGATGCCATTGAAGGAAACTGCATTACAGGACAAACAGAATTTAGAAGTTAGAAATCAAAACAGTCCATTTGGTCTACATGCAACTTCAAATGAATAGAAGGCTCACAAGTACCTTCACAAGAAAACAGAACCAGAAAGGTTTAATAAACCAGACTATTTATTCTTCATTTATGTCATCCATCATTTAACGTGAAACTATTTCATAACTTTGTATGATAATGTCTCAAGCCGTAGACATTATCAACATCATCCGCTCAAGTTTGGACTGGGAAGGCTCCTTCCCAGAGGCCCCATCTGATTTAGTAGACGAGAAACTGAAGTCTTAAAAGGGCTAAAAATATTTACAACTTCCTTTGAAATCTACTTTAAGATATCTCTCGTATATTTCTTACCAGTGAACAGTAATCAGGCATGCTTTGAACATTAATCAGGCAGGCAGCCATACCAAGCAATCACATGCATGCCTCATGCTCTGGTATTTTTTAACAAATTGCTTGCAGCTTCACTTTATTGTATTTTTATTTTTCTCTCTCTTCCTTAACCATTGAGCAAAGATTCAATAAAATATCTGAGCATACTGCATAGAGCATGAATCTTGCCTTCGTGCACATGGATTACTTTTATTTATCATCCACCTTGGAATACCTGTTGAATATGATGCAGGAAAGGGATAGGAAACATGCAAAACTAGTTTGGTAAAATTAAACTATTCATGCCGCAGGGGACTAGGGACTCTAGCACAAGTGAGCATTCTAAAACAATGAAATAAAAATAAACAAATAAATAAATGTTTCAGCACAGCCACTTTGTCTACAAGAGTGCACCTAATTTCAATATAAGTTGCAAGCTTTTAATTGTCGGCACAAATTCACTTCCTGGCTCCTGCTCAACCTTAAACTTTCTCCCCCACTAAAAGCAGTAAGGTAAAGTTAAACATAGCTCTGAGTCTACTGCTGATATGTAATACTATAACCATATATACAAGACCTTTATTGGCAGAGTGTGCATTTTAAATAATATTTCTAAGACCAACATAACACTTTGGGAAGATCTGTAGTCCATATAGACATAATGAGAATATGCATACCGTTGGGGCTTGAACTTGGGTTGTGTCGTCGTCAAGATCAAATGGGTTTTTTGTCTTTGCTGAGTTGGGAACAGTTGGCACGGGCTGTAACACAATATATATATATATATATATATGTATCAAAAACTTTCATGAGGTAGATGAAGCTAACATAGAACTTATGTCAGCCAATTATTTGTTTATTTATTGGGAGTAGGTAGAATACCAATACAGTAGGATGGTACTGCATGCCAAATCCCATTCCATGAGGTGGATGCATTTGCCAACTTGGAACTGGTGCAGGGAATGATGAATAACTTGCACCGAAAAGGTCCTGCAGAATTCAATTTTCATCATTAGAAAATTTTAGGAAAAATACCATATAATGCAAAAATATTATGAGACAGATCACTGTTACCACTGGGAGTTCCTTTCTTCCACTGTGTATTGCTTCTGCCACCTGAATTTCTTGCAGCCCAGTTCCAGAACTGGGGTCTTGGGCCAGTGTAGAGGCAGCTTGAGATGATTGTTCAGCAGAAGCACCAGAAGGTCCTTCAGAATTTGGTGCAAGTGATAAATTCCATGGCTGCAGATAGGCAAAAGAAGAAACAGAATTAGCTACTACACCTAAGGGCCAAGGCAGGGAACAAAACAAGATAGAGCAAGGTTTAAACTTTAAAGCTCAAATATTTTTGCAACTGTTTCGTCTTCAACGTATTTGGATTTTTCCACTAATTTTTCATACCCTTCTATGTGTAAATTCTAGCATTCATGAAATTTCAGGTTTGGTATCAGATTCAACCAAGAAAAATCAACGAATCTGAATTTTGAACCTCAAGAAAGAAAAGGCAGCAAATGTTTCTCACCTGCTTATACAAAGCTTCTGATGGAGTATTCTGTTGAGCAGTGGAGCTACTATGCCCAGAAGTCCGATATTGCTGCATGGTTGGCAGCTGCTGTCCATTAGTAATTTTGACCATGAAATCACCACTAATATTAGGCAATGCTGGTGTCGTTATTAAAGATGAAACTGCTGGAGCTCCCCCATTACTGGGGACCGATGGTACGTTGGTTGTTGATGCGGTTGAAGTAGCACTGACACTATGGGATGATGCTACAGCTGCGGATGATGGATCATGACCACTGCTGGGTGCTTCAGACACACCTACAGGTTCAACTGCAGGAGCTGACAATTCAAATAATAAATATTCTATGGAATTTACATTTGAAGCATCAGAAGCCTTCTCACTTGTGGAAGACAGAACAAGGGCCAAGTTGCCACCATCAATGGATGGAGCCGTTTGCAGAGTTTGTGGCACTGCTGTGGTGTCAGAAGACTCAATATCAATGCTGAAATCAATTAAGCTATCCAAATTCACTCCTCTGTTTTCCTCTACTTTTCCATCAACAGAACCTGGGGTGCTGGGAGATGATGTCTTCTGCAATGAGAAAGACTGAAATATTAGAACACGTTGTGTTTTAAACTCAATAGAAATTATAAAAGATGCCAGGTTTCCAAACTGGACTTCATGAACAAAATTCAAGCTGAACAATTTTTTAACACCAAATAATAATTCAGAAATTAGCCAATTGTCTCCTCCTTGAAGGAGGCAATAAGACAATCTTCTTGGCGCTATTTACAGCAGTGCCACATGTGAGTTACAGTCATAAAACCTAAAGCCCTTCTAAAAAGTTTGCTAACACAAACATGAGTGGCAGTGAGCATGAGAGCACCAAAATTTTCGTTTTCAACAAAATCATATACTACTTAAGGTTAAATTATATACACCTATAGAGATAATCCATGTATATATAAAGAGCATATTCTTGAGTTCTAGAGTGCATAATATTTTTCTTTCATACATTCATCAATTTGCATTAGAATAGGTGGGTGTGTTCTAAGTGTGTTGACATCATTGCTGTGGAGCAAATCTAGGAAGTTCAACACCAACAATTCAATTCAATTCTTCAGAACTTGTGTTGAATGGCTTGTTGGCTGGAAATTGAATCATTGAGTGAAGAAGCAGATCTGCTTGGAGTGAATGAAGATTGTTGATGAGCACATCATGAAGTTTGTTGACGAGCGGATCATGTGCCTGAAGACGAGAGTGGAGAGTTTGGTGGATTGATCGGTCAAGAGGTAACTAAGGATTATAGGTTTTGGAGAACTTTAAGTTAGTTGTAAGCTTCATTCTCATTTTGGATTTGGTTTGGCTGGACTAGGTCCTGTAGTTTGAACCGGTTAGTTTTTCCTCGTAAAAAATCTTTATATCCATCTTTTATGCTTTATTGCTTTATTTAATTATTGCATGATTGCTTGGGATGACGGATTGAGTAGATTTTAATGTTTAGTATATTTTGGATTTAATATTTTTTTTTGTTATTTTAGTTTAAATTCAAAAAGTATATAAAAACAATTAATCCAACCAACAAGACCTATTCACCCCCTCCCCCTCTAGAGGCATAGATCACAGAACTTGTGCTACTCTATATCAAGCCTAGGATTTTGGTCTTACAACTATCAGAAGGAATTGTAAGTCACCTTAATGTTAGGTGTACTTCAAAACAAAATGGTGTTGCAGAATACATGAACATAATTCTTTTGAAGAGGTCTCTTTACATAATTCTTAATGTTGGATTGTTTAAAGAGTTCTGAGCTGAGCTTTTAATGCAACCTTCTGCTTAGTAAATAGATCTCCATCAACTGCTATTTAGCGCAACACTCTCAAAGAAGTATGCTTTTCATATTCCTGGTGATTTCTCTGATTTGACTTTTGAAAGTATTTGATTGCCCTGTTTATGCAAGTAAATGATTGAATACTCGAACCTAGAGTAAAAATTTGTACAATTCCGGATTACGAATTGGGTCAAAGGGATACAAGCTGTTGGTTATAATCTTAAGTAAACAATATTTTTTATTGTCAATAAGTAAACTAAGTACATTGTCAAAAGAATGTGACTTTTGATGTATCTATCATGCTTCACCCAAAAACAGAGTCCGATGTACATAAAATATAGAGTGTGCAGGTGGAGCCAGAGTCAGAAGCTCCAGTGGAAGTGAGGAGGGCACTCGTCAGTGTAGTCACAAGATGTGGAAGGATTATGTGCCTAAGGAGCAGTAATACATTGTTGCTACTAGTAGACAGAGGAGGCAGATTAGACCACCTAAGTTATATGGTTATTCTGACCACCAAGGGCAGTAGCCCAATGGTATCTCCTCTACCTCCCAAAGTGGAAGGTGAAGGCTCGAGTACCTTAGGGACAACTGGCTGTGTGAGTTTCTTGACAACAAAAAAAAGAAGTTAAAAGGTGATTCAGATTGTTGCTTATGCATTGATGGAGACAGGTGGAAACTGAGGTAGTGAAGAAAGATATTTGATGAGAGGCTTGATTGGTGGATTGGCAGCAGGAGTTAACTATTAAACACTGTGACAGAGCACTGTACACCTGACCAAATATCAGATGTGAATTGAGAGGACCAAACATAGTGATATGAATATCACTTTATGAACCAAGCCTATTCCTACATTCAAGTCCAAGCATCGCTTGGATTGTTGTTTACAGTTGTTGAGGTTCTTTGGGGATTTTTGTGGAGAAGACGGGAGAGAAGATTTTTAACTGCGAGGCTTGATGGAATTTAAGTCAATGTGAAGATTTGTTATGATTTGTCTTATATTTTGAGTTCAAGAGGCCTTTCCTGGAGGTTGGTGAAGGTCTTGTAGTTTTCCCTAATTCTTTGTTTTTTGAGTGGATTACTCAGTTGCCTGGATTTGTATTGGGTTCTCTCTTGTATCTGAACCTGATTATATATAAAGGTCATTTAAAGTTTTGAGGGATAGAGAACTCATTATTGTGAAGAGATTGGGGTTTGTGAAATCGGGCAGCTACTATGCTGTATTCTCTTCGTCCGCGTAGTGAAATTTCACAGTTGTCTCATCTATTGACGTAGACTTTAAGCCGACCCACGTAAATTATTGAGTGTGCATTGCAAAATTATAATTTAACATCTCTGTTTGCTTTAAAATGTAATTTTAGATATTCCATAATAACAATCAGCAACAAAAAGAAGTCTGGTCCAGGAGAATTATTTGGAACTACTTTACAGTTTTTAATAAAATGCCCAATACAGCATAAGATGTAAAGTAATCAGCTAGCATCAAATCATAATTCAGCTCACCTGAAAATGACTAGAACCATCACCATCTCTCTCATCATTTGCTGCTGGACGTTCACCTATTTTTAGAGGTGGAACATTGTCACCCAAAATTTCTCTGATGGAGCGGACCACTGGGGGACTGATCTCCCTGCTCTTTTGAGAATCTGGTGACCTGCTACCTACCCTGGATTCAGCATCAGAAAACCCGCAGCTTTCAGCTTTCCTGCGCCTTCTAGAATTATCATCTCGAAACCTGTCATCGACTATCTCAAAATGAACAGGACGACTCTTGTGTCTCCCAGATCTTACATTTTCTAGTTTGTATTGAGGACTTCTTCTTTCATCAATATAATTTATCAAACTCCTGTCATTCCTTCCACCAGGACTGTACCTTTCAATAGAACGCTGCTCATACAAGTCCTCATTGGCACCCTGTAGCACAGACAAAAGTTATTCTTTAGAAACTCCTTTGACACAAAGAAGATAACTAATCAATTCCATTGTTAATAAATGAATGAGAACAAACAAAACAATTTCCCTGTTGTTATTATATTAAGCAGATCAACTTAATACAAGTGAATCTTTTTAAGGAACAACATATAATAGCTGCATGTGTATGTTCATGGGTCACAGGCTTACCACTTTCACCATTGCAAGCTTGTCAACACTCCTATCACTGGTATATTTTCTATCCACATAGACATGCTTAATAAAATCGCGAAGTCTGTGAAGATTACTGTATTGAAAACGTTTTGCATTAGACTGCATTCTTATGTTGTAAAGTAGCAGAAATAAACTAGAATGCATAAATACCTGCCATCCGGACAAGAATGGTTCTGTGGATCCCAGGCTTTGAAATAAATTTGCCTTGCCCGCTGTAAAAATAAAATGTGTGTTAGACAATGACAAATGGAGAAATTTGAATAAAAGCCAGATCAATTAAAACAGATATGCATGCAGAGACCTCATTTCCCCCAGCTTGAAGAGCATTCAGTTCTTCTGCATTAAATTTTGCCATAGACACTGATTTTACTCGGTGCATGAACTCTCGACTGGAATCAGTGCATAAAAATTTGTCAGCCATGGAAAGCCTCTCTTAACTAAAATCAAGTACTCTAGTGTTAGAATTAACTTGGCCCTTTTAATAATCATGCAATATGACTATCTATACATAGTCACTCCTATAAATGTGTCTGATACTTCATAAACATGTCCACAATTTATAAATAAATATTATTATTTCAGACACACCTCAACACGTCTTATATAACACAAACACATTCAAAGGTAGTCATGTCCAGCAATCTTCAAAATAATATAAACACCTCAAAGTGTCTAGCGTTTTTTTTTTTGTGTAAGAAAATAGAAATTATAAACCTGGTCGCCAAAGTCAAGCATATAATGAATTTTTTTATACAGGACACAAGTATAATTGTAATGACGAAGTAGGAGAGTAGTAGCATATATAACATGATAATCTTTACAATATTCATGTAACTTCATCTTCTAAATTTTATTTAATTATTAGTATAGAAACTAAAATCAATCAAAGTTCTATAGAAAAAATATATATATTTATATATAGCCATGAATATGTCAGCGTATCCTGTCCTTATCATCTCAATATTAGTGCTATCTAACTTTCTGTACATCACATGCAGCACTACATGAATGAAGTGTTGGAATGCAGTAAAAAAGGAATGAGTGTGAACACTTACTGTACTCCACTGCACTTTGTGCAAACAAATGTCCAGAAAGTTGTGCAAACATACTGCGGTCCCTGCTTGAAGAACAAATGTGTTGGTCTTACTACTATATTTCACAAGGGATTGCTCATTGTTGTAATTTGTTAAGAATTAAAAAAAAAAAAAAAAAAAAAAAAAACACTCAAGAATGGAATTACAATTGTATTTCACTACAACACCATTATATTAAAATGTAACAAAAACGATGATTGTGATAACCATAATCAGTACTTTATGCAGTGTTAACAAGCCATATGAGAAGTATATCTATAGCTGATCATGTGGGCATGCCGAGGTGATTTCACCAAGAGGTGCTAGGTATTGTTTCTCCAGGACATTGTCCTTATTGGCAAACTAAAAACAGATAATAAGGCCTAACATCAAATTTTTGCATGTGCCTAACACTAATGCCCACCAAACTTTTATCTTCGTTGTAGAAGGATCTTATGCTAAGCAATCCTTCACCATAACACCAACTCAAACTTCTGGTGGAAACAGCCTGTGATTGCAAAAAGATAGTATGTTCCATGCTTCATAGTCGTGAAGGATCAACTAATCCATTTGATTACTCTAATAAAATTCTTTGTGATAGGAAGATTTAAATAAATTATAAAAAGTCTGCAAGGCTACAAAATAAATTATAAAAAGATACATGCCTTTTGCTGATATTCCATAAGTTTGTTCACTTCTTAGTTCTTACTTCGAACTCGGTATTGATCAATCTATATTAATTAGGCAACTTTGACTGGGAAATTGAGGGTTCAGGTCCCCATTGAAGCAATAGTAAGTGTGTGAGTGTGTTGGATGTGCGTTCTTACCTATCCCAAAAAACAAAGGCTCAATAGTGACCTAAAGATAAAAGAATCACAAACTCCGCAATATAACTTATCATCAGAATTACCACTGGGCCACTAGCGCAGCTGGTATAACATCTCCTCCCTAAAAGGGGTGGTGAGAGGTTCGAGCCCCGTTTGATCAAAGCTTAAGCTAAATATACGTAACCGATCACAAGTCTTATTAAAAAAGAAAAAATTCCAATTAGTTGCTTGAAGCCAGAAAGTGAAATAAAAATGAAAGATAAATCACTAGTTTAAACAACATGTTATGCAAAGGAAATAAAATTCACTTATTAGGTCTGGTCGATGAGACTCTCCCACCAAAAGAATTGTTAGGTTTAAGTTAAAGACACAAATCCCTTGGATTTCCACATAACCATAAATAAATAAGACTTTGGCCGCTCTCATAGCCACTCATCTAGCTCAAAGCCAGGCAAGTGGTGATCAAAAAGGACATCACTTGCATTATAACTAAAAAAAAAAGGAAAAGAAAAAGAAAAAGAAAAAGAAAAGAAAAGAGAAGAACAAGAACAGTCAAGTACTTCTCTTTTATTTTCATTTTCTTTCTTTTGAGGGGAAGGAAGCCAAAGGGAGAATCAAGGATAAGCTCATGCACCAATCCTGATTCAAATTCAAACTGATAAAAAGAAAGCAACGAAACTGCATAGTAAAACATCATAAATAGAAAATATATCTATATATATACAAAAGGCAAACTCCATGACCTCCAGGTCCAGGTCACAATGGAACAACCTTACCATTGGGCCAAGGCTTGCCCTCACACATCATTCAGAAGTAAAACATAGTTTCTTAAGAAGCTCTGACCATTAATATTGTCTACACAAAATGTTACTAATCCACATTGTTTCAATATAAAAAATTGATTTAACCCAATTCCTGATTCAGTGGTTTGACAATAATGGGGCTGTCCTCTCACTTGTACATTCTCATTTACAGTGCAATAACAATGACCACATTGTAACACAAATTAAAATCCCTAAGACAATTTAAGAGTCCGAGACCAAAACTATACCAGACTGTTACAATTAATGCATCTCCGATTCTCCTGAAGCTTCAAAAGCCCACGAATGATCATTTCGATTCTCTCCTCATCCTTCACCCGTTTCGGCATTTTTATGGATTCTCTACCTCCTTCTCCACCTCCTTAATCTAAAAACAATCAGAACACCATGCAAAAACAATCAATATATACACACATACATACATTATATACATTTTACAAATAAAATGACTTTGTTCTAGAAACCAGAACATATATCACCAACAAAAAGCAAGGATATCAACAACTATAAAGTTATAAACATAATTCTGAGTCAGTTCTCCGGAAAAATGTAGGAAAATAAAACAAATTCAAGAACTTGTCAATGTAATATATATTAAGCCTGAAAACATGATGTATGACAACAACATTTCAGTTATTTTTCTTAATTTTCTCGGCAACCAAACAAGGGCAAGTTCGAGAACAGAGAAAGAGATAAGTACCTGATGGGGTGAGCATTGGAAGATGTGGCTTCGGAGATGGAGCTATGGAAAATTCGGAAGAGGGGAGGGTTGATAAGTCGGCCTGATTGCAGAAAGAGAGAGAGGAGAGGAGAGAGAATGCTGGCGTTTTTGGCGGGTGGGGAGGATGACCAGTATTTTGCCGGTTATGAAAAGGGTATTTGCAATGGTGAAATTAGAGGAATTTATTCATAAAACTATATTTTATTAAAGATTATCTAACTTTGGATTTGAATAAGACTCAATTTAGGGTTAAATATATATATATTTAATTTTATTATTTATTATTATTATTTATTATAAAAGTTTACCTGACAATGGTTAGAGAATTTGTTCCTCGGACAATACCTCTCTTGGATTAGCTCTAGTCAGTGGATTAGGTCCACCTTATTACTAGAAAGTTGAATCATTATCACTAAATCTAATTACTCATATCCCCCCCCCCCCCCCCCTCCCCTTTGTGAAATTCTTAATTTTGTTCTGCAAATAAAATTTAAAAGTACACAACATAATAAATCTTTTATAAGTGGAATTTTTTTTTTTTTTTTTTTTCTCCTACGTGCATTTGACTAACATAAATATTTTAAAATTGAATTACCATGATTTAAAAAGAAAGAATAATGAGAAGTTAGTATATATGGTTATGATTTTTTTTTTCTTTCTAAATTTTTTATTGCTTTTCAATATCATAAAATATTTGTAAGAATTCCATTTCCTTTCTTTTTATTTTAGAGTGCATGTTTGTGCAATTTCAGAAATTTCCAGCGCCTAATTGCAAAAAAAAAAAAACAGTTTTAGGGACGACTTTGTAAAAACTACTATAACTATATAAGATTCGCTTTCGTGTTCCTGCTATTACGTTATCAACATCACCGCCTCCTCTCTCAATCCCTCTCTGAAACAGAAAAACAAGTCTTAACCCTAACTCTCTAGCTCCCCCTCCATACATCCTTCTCTCTCTACCGCGTGCACCTCAAAATTTGAGAGAGGGCTCAAATCCATCGCTCCCCGATTTTCTCTCGAGCTCTCTACATTCGTCGACATTTATCTCGTTGAAACCCTAATCATCCATTCACGTCCTTCATCCATCTTTCAAGCTCTAAAATCACATCCCAATATTCGTTTTATCTAAATGCTTCATAGGATTTTCTTATATAATAAAATAGGCTCTATCTTTTGAAACCCTTACTATTTTTGATCCAGAATCTGACTCTCAAGACTTGTTAATATTTGCATTAATTGATTTCCTCAAATCAGAAAATTATCTGATATTTTCAATTACAATTTTGTTTTTTTTGTTTGAACCATAGAAATTTTCTTACAATTTTGTTTTTTTTTTTTTGTTTGAACCATAGAAGTTTTCTTACATTCTTTAATAATCGTTTTGTTCTTAAAGTTTTGATAGCATAATCAAATTGTCTCGGAAATTTCATTTTTGTTCAGTGTTCTAAATTCTGGAAAACATTGTAATTTTCCCTGTTTTAAAGCTTTTATACATTTGCATACTTGTGCCATATCTGGGATTGAGGGAGAATGGTGGGTGGTGGTAACAGGAGAGACGATGGGTCGTCGGTGATCAACAATACCAACGTTTTTGCAGCGCTTGACAGTCTTAGGAAGAAGAAGAAGAACGATAAGTCGAAGGGTAAGGGCTCTTCAAAGGCTCCAGCAAAGGAGCCTGAGCCGCAGGTTATCTGGACCCCAGCTCCTTTGAAGGTGAAATCGTGGGCAGATGTGGATGATGAGGACGATGATGATTATTTTGCAACCACTGCTCCGCCTGTGTCTGTTTGGGATTCGTCGGAATCTCAGCAAAATGAGGAGAAGGCCCATGTAGAGGTGTGAATAAGAATGCTTTCATTGACTATTCACTATTCACTATTCACTATTGGCTGATTGAGAAAATGAGATATATGCTATATATGGTTTTCTTTCGCCGAGGCCAATAATTTTTTGTGTGAGAATCTGTTGGCATTGGAGCTTAAGAATTTGTTTGTAATGCTTATGTCCTGGAATGTCTATTATTGGTTGTTGTTGTTGCTTTTTTATTTTTTTTCATCAAAATTTTGCAGCAGTTTGTTGAAAGTTTAGGAATTAAACGTCTCATGATTATATGTGTCTGATGTTTAGTGGTACCTTTGTGTCTCCTAATTAGTGTGCGTCTCTCTCTGGTACATGATTTTTTTTTATTTTATAAGTGACTTTGGTACACGAATCTTGTCATTAGAATGTATTTGTTGATTGTTTTGACTCCTTATCATTAGCTGCTTATGTGTACCATCTTTGCAGTGCCATTCATTATTTGTGTTCAAGTTACAAAGATATGGTTTTTTTATTTTTTTTTAAATAAAAATTTACACAAGGAAATACTGAAACTGAAAATATCATTATATGAACGGTTGATTTTTAAAATTTATATTATAAATGAGCTTCTAGCAGTGTCTTTCTCAAAATATTATTGTATTTCCTATATATATATATATATATTAGGATTAAAAATAGAAATTGGGTCTCATTATTACCAATGTTAGGCAGGTTTAATTTTGGAAGGTAGTTTTGTGCTTTTGGGGTTTTCCATCTTTCTCAAAATATTATTGTATTTCCTTTTTTTGTTTTTTTAAGGATTAAAAATAGAAGTTAGGTCTCATTTTTACCAATGTTAGGCAGGTTTAATTTTAGAAGGTAATTTTGTGCTCTTGGGGTTTTCCTTAAGTCCTATAAACAGACCTCATGCAGGAGAAAAAGATAGCATTGCTGCATTGAAATAGAATGAAATTGGATTAATATTTCAAAGAGCTTTTGAGAAGGACTGAAGCTTACAAACTTTTTGGAAATGTAAAAGAGGCATACTTAAATTTCAGTGGAAGGTCAAATATAGGTCTATAAAAAATGTAAAGTATATAAATGAAATAGTTACCTGATGGAGTCATGGATGATCAGGTAGGTTCGTGGCCTATATTTCTGACCCATGTTGCACTTGGTAGGATGCCTGCATGACATCTTCTGAGCAGGATATTATAGATCATAACCAGTTATGAATCTTATGTAAAACCATTATTTGGGTTTCTGCCAAGCTTTTGCTTTGAAGCTCGCATCTCTTAAGTAGCGTAAGTCTGAATAATTTCAATATATTTTACTAGAAGTTTTCCAATTAGCAACTAATGGTGTGATTAACTGAAGTTCTTTTATTATTATTATTATTGTTTAGTTTGGTCGAAATTTTATAAAATGTAAATTACTAATTAATAATCAAGATTGTAGAAATTTTTCTAAAGGTCATGAAAACAACAGTTTTTTTCATTCTTGATTTCCCTTGTGAAGATTACTATCAGTATCAGGGCAATGTTCAATTTGCACCATTTATATGTCAGAGGTCAAACATGTACATGTTAGAAACAATCAAATAATTTGTTCCCGAAAGCTACCCTTTATATTTCTGATATATGGCTGACATGATGCTTGTTTATCTGGGATTGCAGGAAAGTGAAAGTGATGACGATATTCTCGATGATGAAGATGATGATGTGGAGGAAGAACATGACAATGAACCAGAGGCTCCAGCACATCCTGAGCCTGTGGTGAAGAAGGCGCCTGATGTTTCTTCAGCATCTAAAGAAACAGAAAGACAGCTTTCAAAGAAGGAAAGGAAGAAAAAGGAGCTTGCGGAACTCGAGGCCCTTTTGGCTGATTTTGGAGTTGCCCCAAAAGATGATAATGCTCGTGAAGACTCTGGGGGTAATTACTCGATTAATTGTATTTGACATGAAATATTCCTATTCTGCTTTCTAATTGTGTTATCATGATTTTTCTGCTTTTGATTTGAATCTTTGCTTCACATTCCATTTTTGTCCTACAAGGCTACAACCAGTGTATTGCTTTTGCGAATCATTGGCACAGGAACAGAGGCTCCTGATAATGAGATGTGTTCCATTTCAAGAAACTGATACATTTTAGCTGTTTGAAATTTATTGATGATTAAAATTGAGGTTTCTGAAGGTGAATCTTTACACAGTTGTGTGCAGCCGTGCCTTGCATTTGGCGTTCAGAGTACCTTTTTGTTTCTAATCTCATTTTATTTCTCATGTCACTCTTAGAGGTTGTGTGAGGTTTTTAAAATCTATGCTTCTTATTTCAGTTAGAAACTCTCTCTCTCTCTCTCTCTCTCTCTCTCTCTCTCACACACACACACACACACTTGCATGCACTTTCATGTGATTCCTTCTTGTTGCATTGTTTGTTATTGGTTTGACTGATGTGTATCTCGTTGTATCTTGTGTTGAGGATTGTTCCTCTTGTTTGTGCTGGCTTAATAAATGGTGATTTAGGAGATAAAAGTTTTAAGATGATTTTAGAAAGAGAAGGGAAATAAAGGGAGAGAAGAATACGTTTGAAAAAGTTGATGTTAGAATAAATAATATTATAAAAAATTTAAAATGAACGAAAACATAATGTACATTTAAAAGAGGTATAGATATGTGAGTTTTAGATTCTATTTCCTCAACTTATCAAAGTTCATGCCGAACGCAAACTCTTCCTATGCCCGAATTTTAGGGCGTAGGAAGAATTTATATATTTTATATAAATCGTATAATGAGAGTTTTTATTTAAGATAGTCTTTGAAAGAGATAAAAAATAGAGTGAGAGGAATACTTGTTTAAGAGTTTGAAAAAGGTGATGTCTCTTTATGTTTGTTAGAATAAATGATACTGTAAAAAATAAAAATTGATCGGAAAATCCATGTAGTATTAAATGTACATGGAGTTTTTGATATCTATACTACTAATTAGTGTTATATGAGGGTTTCAGATCATTTTTAATTCTTTTGAGTATTGTACTGCCAATCATAATTTGCCACCTTAAACAACTATTAATCACCGAAAATAAGTGAGTAATAAATGGTAAAGTAATTTTAATTTTTAATGTAGTATATTGATCTAATATTGTGTATACTCATATATACATGTAAAGTAATTATAATTTTTAATATAATATATTGATCTAATACATCTCAAAAATCAATCAACTTCTATACTTTCATATCTAATCCTTATTACAAAAGGTAAAACTTTATCAAAGTACTTTCAATTATCTATTAAAATCAATTCAACGAAAAATAATATATAAAAAAATTAGAGTGGGCAGAATCATAACATACCACCTTAAACAACTATTAACGAGTTAGAGTGATAAATAGTAAAGAAATGAGTTAAATATAGCGCAGACCCTCGAGATCATCATCTGGATCGAACCCTCAAGATCATCATCTGGATCGAACCCTCAAGATCATCATCTCAATGAGCCCTCAAGACCATCCTTGAAATCTAAACTTTCAATTCCTCCATCTTAACATTTCAATCATCATCATGTGGAACATTATTGTTATTGGCTGGCTTATTCCACAAACTTGATTGCTAGCTAGTGTAACTTTCAATTCACATACTCGCATGTAGGGATTCTCGTTATCGTCCACTATTTGTTCTTGAGGGCTCGATCTAGACGAGGGTCTTAAGGGGTTAGGGTTAGATTCATTGAATGGTTTTGAAGGTTAGTGTTAGATTTAGAGGATGGTTTTGAGGATTCATCAAACCCCACAAGACCATCATCTGGATCGAACCCCAAAAGGCCATCATCTGGATTGAATCCTCAAGATCCTTGTTTGGATCGAGCCCCACAAAACCATCCTTTAAATCTAACATTAACCCTCAAGATCCTTATTTGGATCGAGCCCCACAAGACCATCATCTTGATGAACCCTCTAAATATAGACTTTTGATTCCTACATCTTAATATTTCATATATCACAACATTCTTGCCATTGGCTTGCTTATATCCCACGAACTTGGTTGCTAGCGAGAGTGAGGCTGAATGACGTGTTACTCGAACGTGGTCATTATATTCGAGAGGAAATTTCTCGGAGGATTCGCTTTTCCTTACCCTCGAAGAAACCGCGTAATCTCAGTTCTTTTCATCTTCTAAGTCGGGTTTAGGGTTATCATCCACTATTCGTTCTTGAGGGCTCGATCCGAACGAGAGTCTGAAGGCTTGAGGGTTCGATTCAAACAATGGTTTTGAAGGGTTAGGGTTAGATTCATTGAATGGTTTTGAGGGTTTGATTCAAACAAGGGTCTTGAAGGTAAGGGTTGGATGTAGAGGATGATTTTGAGGATTCATGAAACCCCACAAGACCATCATCTGGATAAGCTCCACAAGACCGTCATCTCGATGAACCATCGACACCATCCTTTAAATCTAACCTTAACCTCATATGGATCGAGCACCACAAGACCATTATCTCGATAAACCCTTAAAACCATCCTCTAAATCTAACCTTAACCCTCAATACCCTTGTCTGAATCGAATCCTCAAAACCATTCAATAAATTGAATCCTAACTCTTCAAGACCATTGTTTGAATCGAACCCTCACGCCCTTGAGACGTTTGTCTGGATCGAGCCCTCAAGAACGAATAGTGGATGATAATGAGAATGCCTAACTGTAAGCATGTGAATTGAAAGTCACACTAGCTAGCAACCAAGTTTGTGAGATATAAGCCCGCCAATAGCAAGAATGTTGTGATGTCTAAAATATTAAGATGTAAGAATTTAAAGTCTAGATTCAGAGGATGGTTTTGATGGTTCATTGAGATTATGGTATTGTGGGGTTCGATCCAGATAAGGATCTTAACGGTTTGATCTAGATGATGGTCTTTTGGAGTTTGATCCAGATGGTCTTGTGGGGTGCGATTTAGATGATGGTATTGAGGGTTCAATCTATATGATGGTATTGAGGGTTCGATCTATATGATGGTATTGAGGTTAAGGTGGTAGGTTATGATTAGCAGTTTTTGTCTACAATTTTTTTTATATAAGTTTTAATTGAATTGATTTTAATAGATATTTGAAAGTACTTTGATAAAGCTTTACCTTTTGTATTGATGACTAGATATGGAAGGATAGAAATTGATTGATTTTTGAGATGTATTAGATCAATATATTATATTAAAGATTATAATTACTTTACATGTTTATATGAGTATATGCAGTATTTATATTAATCATCTGTTCTTTTTCTATATTTATTGTGTTGAATTTGTATTTTACCTCTAGCTTAATGTTCTATTGTTATTTTTTGTATAATTTTGTTTTGTATTTGGGTTCCTAAAGCATAACATAATTACACCTTGATTAAAAAATTACTCTGTTCTCCCCTATGGTACTCAAGCTCTCTCCTACATTAGCAGAAAAAAATGGTAAACTGCACTTGACAAGGGTCACAAATATATAGACATTAAAAAAAAGTAGTTTGAGGGGCCCAACTCAGTGGGCACTATACAAGATCCTAACTATAATTCTCAATCAAAAATGAATTATATTGATATAGTTTAATTCTGTATTGAACACATCGTGCTCATTGTATGGTTTAATGTATATTTAATATTAGTATTGAAGTTAAATTATATTATTAGATTGCTATCCCTATTGTAATTCTCAATTAAGTATTAAAATACAAAATAATTGTGATATATTAGCGTATGGTTTAACTTTATTGAATGTGTTCAGTAGTAGAGTTTTGATCTCAACCATGATTCTCAAATATCAATATAGTATGAAAATAAAATGTCAAGTAGCGCATTTTTTTTTCTTAGATAAGTAAATAGCGCGTATAAAAATTGGTAACTCTTAAATTTTAACATTTATATAGTAGTATAATTTTATCATTTTTTTTTCTTAAATTTTTATCAGAAAAACTTCATGAGAAGGCACCAGGGGGGAGATGCAAGTACAAGCAGATCATGTATGAGCAAACAAAAAAATACAACACCTAAACGAAGCTTAAATCACCTACACAATTTACAGATGAATTATTAGAATAGAGAAAACTCCTGAAAGCCAAAATATAGTAGTAATCATCAGTTCAGGAAATTGACTGCAATCCTGTTGTTTTCAATTATTCCCTAATTGAAACTTAGTCTGCAATTTGATTCTTGTTGGCAGTGGGAAAGTTTGAAAAATCCATTCTTATGTAATTTCAGTTGAAAATTCCAGATTTTCTAGTTTGATTCTGTTGACTGTTTTTCTAAACATGTAAGATTGTTCCTTGCATCTGTTTTTGTTGTTGTTGCTGTTCTGTTAGGCGAGCAACACATGAACACCACTGTCCCATGTAGCAGATGCAATAGAGAAGATTACGTATATTAATTCTAGTTTGTTCAGTGGTTGCCTAGACATGTAAGATCTGTTTTTTTTTCTTGCATTTTGCAGACGTTGCAAAAGAGAAGAAAGAGGGGGCACCAAATGGAGTTGTAGATGGAGAAAAGAAGGAAAATGCTCCTGCTGAGTCCAAAAGTGCGAAGAAGAAGAAAAAGAAGGATAAATCTTCGAAGGAGGTAAAGGAGTTGCAGGATCAAACTGACAGCTCAAATGTCAGTAATGGGCAAGAGGAAACTGCTGGAACCAAGCAGGCCGAAGAAGATGCATCTGCTATTGATGTAAAAGAGCGGCTAAAGAAGATGGCATCAATGAAGAAGAAGAAATCATCTAAAGAGACAGACAGTGCTTCAAAAGCTGCTGCAATAGAGGCTGCAGCAAGGAGTGCAAAACTTGCTGCAGCAAAGAAGAAAGAGAAGAATCATTACAACCAGCAACCGGTGCGGTAAGAGCCCCTTTAGTTCAACATTCACAGATCAAGAGATGCATCTCTTATGCATCTCTTATTGTTCATTTGCCAAATCCGAAATAAACAGCTTCTTTGGGGTGTATTCACTTGGGAAAAAAAAAAATTTGTTTCTCCTTTTGTCTCACTAGTCATATGACATTTTTTTCCAGACAGTTATGTCATTGAAAATATTTATGGTATTTGGACCTTATTGCTCATTGTATATCAGAGTAGTACCTTCTACAACCTATATCTCTCTCTTGTATATGTCATTGGAATCATGAGAAAGGACTTGCAATTTCTTGTCGGCTGATGTTATACGTGGTTTTACAAAAATAATACCTAAGCCAACCACATGCCTTTCCTAGTTTTAGATGTGTTGGTTGCATTATAATCTGTGGACAAATCATATATAAGATCAGACCTTGTGAGTACCCAGAAGAATATTTTCCCTTGAAGGGTATATAGAGAGGTGATAATGACGTGTGTTTTTTGGCACCGACTTTCTGGCCCTGTACAGTTTTCTACTCCTTTGCTTCATCTTGGGATTTTCTTTCTTGTTATATGGTCCAACCTAGGAAGCTTGTACTCTTCTATGAGACACGGACACTCCATGGATACTGTTTCAGACACGTATGATGCTTCATGGCTGTGTCCATTGTTTAAAAATAAATTTTATTATTTCGGATACTTGGCATATACATGTTGAACACTCGGTCGACACATCTCGGGACACCTGGTCAACGCATACATTCTTATAGAAAACAAACGCATGCCAGTTGTATAAACAACATTATAAATATAATTCTAATTATAATGACAAAATAGGATATCATTATCAAATATGATTTTTTGTATTCAAAGAGCTTCATCTTTTAACTTATGTGCTTTTATAAAGAAATTATAAAATAATTAAAGTTGAATGATTGTCTCATTCAATAGATAAATATATTTATATTTATAAGTTTTCACCATGTGTCTGTCTTATTTTTTTTAGAATTTGATCTGTTGGACGTATCCGGGTCCATGTCTATTTCCGTTCTTCTTACGTGCTTCTTAGGTGCAAACGATATTGTACATTTGTTGAGCCAATGGTAAATGTTTGAGGGGAACTGTTGTAAACGAGGTTGCAAAGGTTTCCATTAACACCCAAAATTCTTCTTCTTGTGAGGGATGTCTTTTAAGTCTCCGTTTGTTTAGATGTAAAATATTTTTCAGAAAATATTTTTTTAAATTTTTAGTATTTGGTAAAAAAAATATATTATACTTGAAAAAGAAAAACACTTTTCGAGGAAAATATTTTACATCGAAACAAATGAAGCCAGAACTATGAGAATTTCATCGGTGTCGGGTTTAAGAACTCTTATCTTGACATCTCAGACCGCCTGTGGTACATTTTTCCCGAAATAAGCAAAACTTCTCTCAAGTTCTATGCCATTGGCTGGCTTATCCCACTAGTGTGACTTTCAATTCCACCCGAAGAGCATCCACAGTCTTCTGGATATGCAAAAACCATCACAGGGCCATAGCAGCCATTGCCCTTGTCCCATTGCTTGCTGTCTGGAACTGAAAAGCTTACTGACCAGTATGCGTCCATGATCGGCATTGTACCAGTCTTTTCCTGCATTGCTAAAACTTTGTTCTTTCATCTGCACGCGCGCAGCAGAATTAAGGTTTCATCTACCATTTGCCACCTTCCTCGGTTATACATACAGCACTTTAGATAAATGAGATCCTTCACACATTCTAAGTCAGCATGCTCAAGCAACAATGACAAAGGATATTCTATTTCGTAACCATAGACTAGAGAAACCTAGGGCGACCTTTTTACCAAGTAATATTCACAAATGCATTCCCACTATTTCAAAAAATACAAAATTTATTATTTACTAAAAGCCAGTATATATGAGGTCCCGAGCACCTACAGAACAGTCTCCTACACATGTATATAGAATTTCCTGTTCATGAGGTGCAGTCTACGGTTAACTATTCCAATCTCAAATGGTGGTTGACAGGTTTTGTGACACATTTTTTATTCATCCGTCCTACCAGCAACCAAACAAGGGATGATTTGGGTAGGCAAGAATGTCAAACCACCTACCTTTACAGGCATCCGAGGAGTAAAATACAAAAAATAACATTCAAATTTCTATTAAGAATTGAAACAAAGTCACGTTACATGAAATGGTGCTCAGGGTCCCTGATTTTTACATTTTTTAATATTTGAAAGAGAGACAGAGGAAATCAAATGACGAAAAGCTATTAAATTAGAAAATAAAAAATAGTTGTCACCAAAATCTCCAGGGATCCTTGTATGGAGGAACATAGTCTACAGTGGGTGGAAGAAGGCGGAAAGAAGACACGGTCTTTTCCAAGAAGGGCCCCATCTGCATCACATAATGGTAGTTTCCGGTTAGAATTCAAACAATGAAACATGTGAAAAGAATTAATAAATAGAATAGAATAGAAGCAACCACTGGTTTCGAATAAGAATTTGAAGCTGTGATTCGATCATTTAAATAGAATTACCAAAAGCTTATAAAATACTCCATAGTAAAACATAAAATTTCTTGAAATAATTGTTCCACAAATGATTACCGATAGACTCAGATTTCAAATGATAGAAAAAATTAAATTGACTGAGATAATATCTGGAACATCTAAGCAATGCCAAGACACTGTACCAAAACATTAAAAAATCTCTAAGCTAAAGGGGAATTTGAGGAAAACACATGTAAGAGTACGGACATCATACTATATGTAGCTGATTATCTGATTAAATGCAATGGTATTCCTGATGAGGATGAGATGATTGAAACTGTAAAGAAACTTCCGCATGTGTCCAAGCCGTAAGTTTTTTTTTTTGGTATATATCTAAAAGTTTTAGTGCAGGAGAAAATTTTCGTATGGTAAGTAATGTACCAAAAAATGTTACAATTTCTATATCCAACACAAACTTATACAGTGAGAGCATCAATTTCAAATTTTGGTGCTTAAAATGATATGCAATGGCCCTCCTTACTGCATGATTCCATCATGAGTCACAGATAGATGCCAAATTATTAAAATAAAACAACATTTGGTATAGAATATACATCAAATCTTTTACTTGCTGTGAAATAATGAGGTTTGTCATCCACCATTTTCTCATTTATGTCAATGAAATTAAAGGTAAGCCAATAAAAACAGTTCTAGTAGAATTGAGATAGAATCAGTAGAATATTTGCAAACTTGAATTATCCCGGAGTTCACCTTAAGGTTCAGACTTCCATAATCACATAAGTATTTAAGTCCTTCACTTGACTTGTTACAATTAAGAGCTCCAAATTTTATAACAGGGGTCTATGGTGATCGATTATCATTTATCAATGCATGCTACAAATAACCAAACAACATTTCAAGCTCAGCCAGGTGTCACCAACGTTCCAACTCTTGAGTCCTTAGCTAATGCATGCCACAACCAGGAGTTTATATTGATACCATGACCACTTTATACTACCCCCACCCACACACACGCGCGCAAAAAAATAAGGAGTTTCTTTCAGATATTGATATAACATTACACAATAAAAGGGATACCCAGAAGGTTTTGTCTATTCCAATGGTGACTTGAAAGGGTAAGTGATTGGCATTGACATTAGCTTGTGACATTAGCATGTAACATTGCAGAATGGCTCTAAATTATCAAAGTTTCATATGCTAATTTCAGTTTACTCGAGTGATACTAATTATAAGGCTTCAACTGTCCCAAAAATCAAATTTGCAACTGCCTAGTGTATATTGAATTATCCTGTGATGAATGAAAAGGATGAATAAGACTAGCCGAAAAAAGAAATTTTTTTTTAAATAAGAACAAAATGAAGGTATTTTGAAAAATATGATGACTTGGTTACAATTTAACCCAGAAAAGCAAATGAGGATCACATGATTTCAGAAAATAGCTTCACCACAAACATGTCAAAAATATAAAGGAAAAGCATATGATGAGCATATAATTCCAAAAACATGGTAAAATTAAAATAAAAAAGAAATGTTTTTGGAGACAGTATCAATCCGAGGCCTGATCGAAAAAATATAATCAGAAGCATAGCTAAAGAATACATAAAACTGGTATCTTAATATTGAGGATTTAAGTGCGATAAAGCATGCATCTTTCTTTGTTTGTCATAAAATTATGCGTTCATGTAGAGAGAAAGAAACTTACTGTATTCCACTGCTTATTTAGAGTTGAAGCATTCAGAGAGTACAAATAACCTGTGATCAAGCACTAATGAATTTAAATATATAGTCGAGTGAAAGAACCATAATTAATTCTAAAAGAATAGCTATTACAATAATTAAACATTAGCCAGCAAACTAGCTCACACAGACAAAAAACAACTCGGGACAAATTTTCCTTAAGTTTTCTCTTCTTTCTCTGCTGAAATTTTATTGGTAAATGTCTAAATGAGCAATAGTTAGTTCATCATTAATTGAAGTGTTTTTTCGTTTTAAAATCAACAAGAATCTAGAAAGCTTTCAAGCACTCAGTATGGATACAGTGTTGACAGTCATGACAAGATGAATTCATGATGGTCGAGAAATTTATGCAGAGTTCCATAATTGCTTAACAATGAGCAGAAAACTCTAAAAGAGGGTCCTACCATCTCGTTCTGCAGTTGAACCGATATAATGCCGATAATTATTTGATTCTTGAGCCTGCATCATTCCTCAAGAAGCATGAACGTATGAATATAGCATATACACATCTTTAACCTATCAACTGGGACTAAAATGGAAAACTTACAGATTTTGTAGGTGATTTGCGAATGAGGTATTCATAGTACCAGTAAGGCTTGCCATCAATCTAAGGGGAAAAACATCAATATGTAAATTTGAATGTGGAAGTACTACATATTGAATATCATAGTTAAATTTGTAATAGTGTGAAAAACGTGAATTTTGGATTGCCCTCCAGTTAAATTTGAAAGACAAAAAGCAAAGCTCAGAAGCTTACTTCAGAAGAATGTGCATCAAGAACAGAACTCTCAGCCATGCGTTGACTTGATGTGATTCGCTGCACAAAGTTGTAGCATGTTAATTCCCACTAGAATTACCACCAAAGGTTGTAGCCTAGTGGTATCTCCTCTATCTTCCAAAGTGGGAGGTGAGGATTCGAGTCCCCATAGGGACAAATGTGTATGTGAGTTTCTTGCTGGGGGGGATCCCACTAGAAGTGAGATTAAGGGGTTAAACTTTTTAGGGTGCAAACTACCAAATACATATTTGATAGATTTGGTTATATAAGCTGAAAAAGATCCAGCCAATAAAATTTTCTAAGAGCTTTTTGACATTTTAAAGCAAGTTCAAAGGACAGTTGTTGCTTGTACTATTCTAATTTCATCACAGCAAGACAGCTGCATGTTTTTCTACAAGCTATTGAAATTTCACAGCAAGTTCAAGAGATCATCATCCTTGCCTTTATAGTTTATCCCTCTTATGAATCGAGTCAGCCACATGAATTCTCTTATTCCCATTCTTTTCTATTACATGCCATTTCACCTATTATATTTAACTTTTTACAATCATTTCTAATTAATTTCATCCTATGTTAACTACGGAAGTTCAAGAGACAGTATAATAATGCTAATTTACACCACAGAGGGACAGCTATCTAAGCTTTTCCCTTGCTGTATTGAATTGTACCATACACATACCAAACATAAATCAGCCCATAGTTATAGATAATTTTGGGTTTTCCAAGTTACCATGTTGGATAACTCAAATCCGTTTTGGTGATAGAACACTGATAGATACCTAAATATTGGCCTCCTTGAAAATGAGCTGAAAATTATGGAACTGCTTGAATTCTAAACAAAAAATTCATGCTTTGCGGACTATGAGAATGATGATTTTTTTTCCCGAAATTAAAGAGGCAGTGTTAACTGTTAAGTGAAGAGACAGGTAAGTGAATTACCAAAGCAGATTTGTCAGATAAAACAGAATCAGCGACATCTCTGGGACTCCATGTACTTTTGTCCATTGATTTTAGGAACTGTGAATTGGGGGGACCTATCTGAAACAAAGAAATAAAAACACAAATCTTGAAAAAGAAAATGTAGAAATTAGACTTCACAGGAATATGGTTTCATCGAAGTTACCGAGACACTAATGATGAGGTTGTCAATAATGTCAACACGCTCAGACACAATGCGCAGGCGTGCATCAGCTGTATTATATTGGAACATATTTCTATTAAGTTTTCTATAAGAAGCATATATTAAAAACACGTCTCATTCAAATAATTGATATAGAAAACACTTCTTTGTTGTATTTTTATCAAATTCAAATGACTTTGCTAAAACTTGTTAATGGAGATACTCAAGAATTAGCATGGTTTCATATCTTCTTTGTGACATTCATAATTCTGTTTGCAAAAAGGAAACAGGTCAATTGAACTTACGGGACAGTGGTGCAGCTGATGAATAACGTTCTGGTTTTCTGGATACCACCCTTCAAATAAATAGTAGAGTCAGGTTTCTAGAATTTATAGATGCACAATAACAAAGAAGATGACTTCTATATATTTAAATTTAAGTAGAATGCGAAGGAATAAGATTTTGTCACGGAAAAGTAGTTTTATACACCTCATTTTTTGAAGAGATAATACTAAAATGATACAACAATATACAGAACAAAGAATAAAAAAGAAAGGCGCTTGTCGTGCTCTACATTATTTTTTGTGAAGGTATACATGAAAATGTCCAATGGAGGCATCAGGCATCGTTAATGGTATTCCAACTTTGACAAACTAAAACATTATTGATATGGCCACTATAATGAAGCAACCCAAAACTTATTTTTAAACAAATTGAAAATCTCAAAATCTTAAATATGCCCAAAGATTCAACAAGATTTGCAACTGAAAAAAGAAATATTCAAAAGTCTCCAAAACTACCACCAAACATAAGCTTGAGTAGTATCTCTTCGCCTCTGAAAGAGGAATCGAGGGTTCAAGTCCCAAATGAGACAAAGTGTATAGGTGTGTTAATAAAAAATAGAAAACTCTCCAAAACTAAAACCTTCTGTTTTGCACTTGCTGAATAATACACAATTCCATGCCCTCATACAGTACAAACTGCTCCACTTTATGTCAAAATTATTGTTCTTTCAAATTTGGAAATTTTAAGAGAAATACTATCAACTTAGGGCATGTTTAGACGCCGCCTTAAATTTGAATGGTTCCTTTCACTTTTTGAATACCATTAAAAGTAAAAGCAACCGCACTGGGAAAATGAAAGCCATTTCAACAAAACAAGGATATTTCTTCAACTTTATCATTCGAAAAAGATCTAAAAATGTTCGTGTGTTGCACATGGAGAAGTTCCTTATTTTTCTAAATGGCTCCATTTAGAAGATGGATTTCTACATAACAATGATATTTTAAATATGAATGGGGCTGTTCAGATTCAAAGGATGCCAAATGGGCCCTTATTATAATTTCTAATTTGCTAAAAATAAAGGTTTACCATTTGAAGACAAACTTTTTAGAAGGCAATTCCATCGGGTATAGATAAGAATAAGCATTTATATCATCAACAAGTGAAGCTGTTTTCAACTCTTCCTCCGCTCCAGATGCTGCAGCAGTAGTAAATGTAATATCTGAGATAAAAACTAGTTGGGGAAAAAAACAACAATTCAAGCAATCTTTTTTTAAAATTGAGCCAGATGCAAGGGAGTGGTCTTACAACAATAGTTTAATATTAACTGTGTTAATTTAAAATTGTTGGAGCACTCAAATTACAAGAGGTGCATTACATCATACAATTATTGCACTTGGTCGTTACGCAAGTCACAATACAAGGTTGGCAATCAACCACCAATACAGTTATCATCCGTGATAACGATATTAATATATTCATATTTAAAAGTGGACCAAAACGCACTCCGCAGGCAGATTTAGCTTACTCGCCACTAAAGGTGAATAGACAGTTTCAGTTTTCTTTTCATTTCCAAACACATCTTACAGATGCTGTTCAGTATGGATAAAAAATAAAACCACCCACAACCTAAATAGTTAATCTAAACGGTCCCAACCGACACTGTATATGCAAGAATTAGGTCTGATATCCATCATCTACTTTTCCAGTGAAATAAGAGAGTTGAAAAAGAATACAGTATCTTTGAAGATTTATATGCAGGCAAGTTTACATTGTGAAACAACTACAATATTGACATATACATATCTCACTCATGCTTTATTCACTAAACTGTGAAATAAAATTTGTCGCATTTTTGCTTGCGCCAATATGTTACTAGTATCAGATAAAATATCATAGAAGAATTGTTATAAGCAAAGGAACCAAAGCATGAACCGGTTCATGCCCCTCCCATCTATTAAAAGAGACTATTAGACATAAATTAAGTATGCATTTGCAAATTTGATCCAACCGTGTCCTAAAATCTTCTAGGATTGTCAGTTTATCATTAAGTTATCTCATTAATAAGATATAGACAAAGTAAAAAATTAAAACAAGGAATCGAAATTCAGAGAATTATAAATCCCACGCATTTTTTCGCAAATAAATCATTCTTCTGTCCATCTCTTTGAGAAAGTAATATATTAAAAGTACAACTTTTGTAGTCTTTTCAAAATCCGAAGGAACCCATCTCAAATGTTTCAACTAGCTTACACAAATTAAAACCACAATATGTGATACACATACACACATACACATACATGGAATGAACACAAAGAACAAATAAAAGCTAAAGTCCAAACAAACACAACAATACAAAGACACAGTGTGTGAACTACTACAATCCGCATGCAGAGACGATAGAATCGAAAACAAAACATAGAATTAGAATATATATAAATTGGGGCTTACCTAAAGACGGGAAAATCATAGCAACTGAAGAACAAATGCCAAGGAGCAGCAAATCCCTTCTGCACGACACATTTTGCGAATTCGGTTTTGAAGGAGAGTATGAACATGCTATAATTTTCTCATGTAATCTACATTTCTTCTGATTTGAACTAATCCCAGTCTGGGTCCTGAATAGAAAAACCACCAACGGTTAAAAGACTGGATAAGGATTTGTGTGTGTATATACATATATATGTAAGTATATATACTTACATAGATTGAAATAGAATACCTGAAGAAGGGAGGACTGGAAATGAGTGGGTGGTTGAACGTAGAGAGAGAATTGGAGGAAGGAGAGAGAAGCTTTGCCATTGTTCAGCTGCTCATCCACTCAGCTTCATATGGAGAACGCTTCTACCCTTTTGTTGGCGTACCCGGTTCGTTTCGGCTAAAAATTTGATGAAAATTAATTTTCTTTTCTTTTCTCTAAGAAAATTACTACTAAGTCCTTTTTTTTTTTTTATATATATATAAGGTAAATAAATTTTATAATTTTTTTATAGCATCAATAAATCCTACTTTCGAAATATTTTTTCGTTTAAGTTTTAAACCACTCAATTTTTCACTTATACCCTTACCAAATAGAAGTAAGTTTTGCAATTGTAGTTTTTGATACATACTACTTTTTTGTCTCTATTTTCTTTGATTGTTGAGTTAATTAATGACTATTAATTATAAATTAAGTTTTAATTAATTTTAATTAAATTTCAATTCAAAAATTCTTTTGTAGATTTTACAACAAAAATTTTTAATATGCAAAAATTAAATATTCCTGAACAACGTTAAATGACAAATTTTTAATTTTGAATAAAGTTTTATCCTTTAAAAAAATAGACTAATTGTTTTAGAAATAAAATATAAATTGGAAAAAGTTTTAATTGCTAATAGAAATTTTTTAGACATATTTAAATAGTCAAATAAAAAAAATTCGCTTACATATCAAAAATAGAACCCATTGGTCCTATAAACTTTTTATAGGACTTATTTCTTTTATAAAATAAAATAAGGATTTATTATCATTTTCTCTTCTTTCTTTCTTTTTTTCAAGGTTTTCAATATATTTAATTTTATGTCACAGATGATTGTAATTTAGTGGTACTTCCCATCTGCCTATGTAAAAATAAAAATAAAAATCATGTCACAAACACTAAATAGACTAGTTAAGAAAATAAGGTTAAGATGGTCCTTTATGCAAACAAATTAGGAATATGTATATATATATATGATCATGACCCAAAGTCGTTTTAGTCAATAAAGAAGGATATTATAGAGATTTAAGGATATTATAAAATATATCAATTTCCATCACTATTAGAAGGATTTGCAAACAGCAGGACAATGTACATACTTTTGGACTAGAATAAGGGGTTTTGTGCAAAAATAAAAGTTAAAAGGGAGTGTTTTACGAAATTGTAGAAATTGAGTTTTCATTTAAGGTTAAAGTATAGCCACACCCCATGAGGTTTGGCAAGAAGACACTCAAATGAAACTTACCTATTTTTTGGACAAAGACACCCCTTGAAGGTTAAAAAATGGACAAAGATAACCCTTTACATGAAAAATTGACTAAATTATCCTTTGACTGTTTAGGAAACTTTTTCAACTTTACAATTTAATAAATTGGACCAATCTACCCTCATGAATAATTTATGCTTAAAAAAAAGTAAAAAAAAACTTTATATTGTTCACTCTTTTTTTTTTTTTGTTATTTAATTTATAAATGTCCCAACTTCTTAAAAATGTAGACATCTAAAATAATTTTTTGATTCAATACATATATTTCAAATAAATTATATTTTGTTATTACTTATTTTATTTTTCTTTTTTATTTTTAAATTAAGATACTTAATTCTTTCATTTAAAAAAATTAAACTACTCTCTTTTCCTTAAAAATAAAAAAATATAGTACTAGTATAACTTTATATATCTTAAATTATATATCAAATATTATGTATTTCCAAACATAAAAAAAAATTAAAAAAAATATGTATTGGTTCAAAAAAAATCATTTTTAGATGTTTAAATTTTTAAGAAGTTGGAACATTTATAAAGTAAATAACAAAAAAAAAAAAAAAAAAATGAATAATATAAAGTTTTTTTCTTTTTTACCTTTTTTTTTTTTTGCATAAATTGTTCATGAGGGTAGATTGTTTCAATTTATTAAATTGTAAAGTTAAAAAAAGTCGTCAATGGGTAATTTGGTCAATTTTTCATGTAAATGGGTATTTTTGTCCATTTTTGAATCTTCGGTGTCTTTATCCAAAAAAAAGATAAGTTTTCGTCCTTTTGTCAAACCTCAAGGGGTGTGGCTGTACTCTGCCTTTTATTTTATTTACAGTTTACGAAAATTTTATGACCAGGCGGAAAACGTCGACGTTTTTAGTGGGCAAAATGTCATCTCATCGTGGTGTCCTAGACTAAGCTCCCAAATTAGGGTTTTCTCCCACAAGCACAGAAAAAGGAGGGAAAACCCTTTCCCACAATAACAACCAACAAGCATTCCTTCATTGTCTCGGCTCTGAAAGTTCACTCTTTCCTTCCATTTTCATTTTGTTGACGGCAAACAAGGTTATTTTTTTTTATTTTTGGTTGACGGAAAAAAAAGGTTAAATTTTTTGAATTTATGTTTATATGTGTGTGTATATATATATGTTGTTTAGCACAAAGCCTGTTCTCAACTTAGCTTTAAATCGATTTTTCAGCTTAAGTTTAGTTTAATTCGAGTTCTGTCAATTTTGGGTCTGCCAAACTCCACAAAACAGAGTTCCCCAGTTTATTTATTTTTTGCTCTTTCTCATTTTCTCGGAGACCAAACACTGGATTATGTCATGCATTGTCGTTGTGACCCATTAATCCTTCAGTTAATTGTTTTGGGTTGATACCCTCGAGTATTTTCCCAGCAATGAAATTTTGCACGGTTCGTGTAGGAAACACTCCACAGAGGTTTTGCTGTAGGGTTTGGTTTTTGTATCAATTTATGAGCTTTTCTTCATCTTGTGCTGCTGAAACTCTGTATTTCAGTGAAGAAATCAATACCCAGGAGCCCAATTACATGGAATTACAGCGTAGAATGCAGTCTTATGCTACCTCTGGTTCCATTAGTAAAGCTCTCGAGACTTTGAGTTTCATGAGGAATGTGCCTGGTAAACCGACCGTTCATGATTACAATGCTTTAATCTGGTGTTATGTCAAATCCAACAATTTGTTATTGAAAGAGTTGGTTGGAGTGTATGTTGCAATGAAAAGATTTGGGCCATTGCCAAATGCATCAACATTCAATATTCTCGTGAATGGGATGCTTTTGCTTGGGAATTACAAAGATGCCTTCGTTATTTCGGAGGAGATGTATAAATGTGGGTTCAAACCTTCATTTGTTTCGTTGATGAAATTGTTGAAGAAGTTGCTGGAATCGGGGAGTGTAGTGGATTCTCTTGGTGTATTGGAATTTATGCTGAGGTTGGACTATTTCCCGACCGAAAACATTTTAAATCTGTTAATGGTTAGGCTATGCAAAGCTGGGATGATTCGTGAGGCATTCTTCATTTTGTCTATTGTTATAGGTAAGGGCAATTATCCTTGTGCTTCTACTTACACTCCAATATTATGGGATTTGTGCAAGTCTGATAAGAGTTACACTGCTTTGTCATTGTTTTATTCTTTGAAGAAGAGAGGCGTTGTGCATAATACGTGCTCATATACAGCTTTGGTTTATGGGTTTAGTAGGGAAAAGTTATGGAAAGAGGCATTTTGTTGTTTAAATGAAATGCAAGCTGTTGGGTGTAAGCCCAATGTGATTACATACACTACAGTTATTAAGTTTCTTTGTGATGACAGGAAAATTGATGAGGCATTAGGCCTATTGGACAAGATGGAAAAGGAAGGATGTGATCCAGATTTAGTCACATACAATATAATTATCCGTGAACTTTGCCATCAAAACAGGATGGTTGAAATTGTTGATCTTGTCGAGGTTATTGATCGAAAGGGATTTTGTCCCGATTCATACACACATGCGGCTTTGGCTGGAGGTCTATTGAAAGGAGGCAGAGTAGGACTTGCTAATAAGCTCTTACTAGATGTTATTTCACGGGGCTGTACTGTGGATGTTGCTGTTTACAACATTTACTTCAACACTTTATGTCATGAGAATAGATCAGGCAAAGCAGTATCTGCGTTGAAGAGTATGATGGAAAAAGGTTTTCGACCAAATAATGTGTCATATAACACAATTTTGAAAGGCATTTGTGAGGATAACAGTATTGATGAAGCTCTTGAGGTTTTCGACCGCATCAAGTGGGCTAATAATGGGCCTGATCTGGTTTCCTTCAATACAATCTTGTCTACAGCATGCAAACAAGGAAATTCCTCTATGGTTCGAAGGATCCTGTATCGTATGGAATATGATGGTTTTAAACTCAATGCTGTTAGTTCGACTTGTTTAATTCAGTACTTTTGTACAGTTGGGAAGATTCCAGAGTGCTTAAAGCTATTGGAATCCATGGTGGGTAATGGTCCTACTCCCACTATAGTAACTTTTAATACTCTTATAAGTTACCTTTGCAAGAATCGGTTGCTTGGAACAGCATACAGGGTATTCAAATATATGAAAAACACTGGATTTTTACCTGACATGTTTACCTATAATATTCTTATACTTGCTTCCATAAAAGATGGCAATGATATGCTGGTGGATCATTTGTCGACAGATATGTATAGCCAAGGATTAGAACTGGATGCTGTTACATATGGGTCCTTTATTTATGGCCTTTGCAAGGAAGGCAAGATACCAGCTGCTCTCCAGCTGCGCGATCAAATGCTTGAGAATGGGATCATTCCAAGTATTGCTGTTTACAATACGATATTAGAGGCAATGTTCAAAAGAGGTAAGTTTTGGGACATTATCTCATTGTTGAAAGAGATGGTTAGGGATGGGTGTGAACCTAATGTAGTTACTTATGATATTCTAAGCCGGGCAAGGTCAAAAGGTTGGATGAAGAAATTCCCTAGGGCTGCAAAACTTATGGAGTTTGTGATATGTGGTAATTGTGAAAAGGAGACATATCATGGAGAGATGACACTAATTGACAAAGAGAATTGAAGCGTTGTCATTGATTATGTTATCACACACCCTAATCCTCTTAGCCGAATCCAGCTTTGTCTTGGGCGAGTTCGATGTAAGCAAGATTCAAAAACATCACAACAGGTATGAAATACAGTTTTTGTGAATATATTCTATGCTTTCTGTTAGTTGAATGCTGAAGTTAAAAACAGAAATTTTTGTAGACTTATTATAAAATATGTGGCCTCACTTGTGAAATACATCCAAATATGCACTATTCCTTTTAGATTTGACTGTTTTTTCTGTCATACGTGTTGCATCCTCTGGATAAAAAAGTAAATGACAGACTGTTTACTTTTTTATTTGTATATTTTTCCCTAAAACACAAAATCGAGATAGAATCATGCAAGTCCTTTTGCATGACAATCTATAATTTAAAGTGATAGATTTTCCAGGAATCTGCTTCTTAGGACGAAAAAGTAGCAATGATATGAGAAAGCCCTAGACTCCTGTCACTCCTTCCAAGTAGTACTACTAGACAATCACCAGCTAAATTGTCATTATCATGGCCCGGATATTCACAAAGATCAGCTATATTGAATATGGGACTGATTAATCCTATTGGCAACTCTTAGCATATTGGCCCCGGGTTCCACCTTTTGAAAGGCTGTACGAGGTCCAAAACTTCTTAGTTCTTAATTTTTATAAGGACCTTGCTAGAATATTTGTCTCTGAGAACTTCTTACATAATATTCTCTGTCTAGTCTCCTATAAGTATGCCCTCTCCTTGTATTATGGCTCTCCTTACTTGATCATGTAATTGGTGAACCTTCTCAGTTTATGTGTTGGTGTCATCCCTTATAGGTATATTAGTAAGTATAAAAACCAAATCTAAGCGTAGCTACTTGTTCTGCCATAAGCAACTTCACGTTAGATTGGATTTGGATGTTATATATTCTATTGTAGGGAATGCTGTTAATATCTGGAGTGAAACTTCAATGCTCGTGTCAATGAAGAGCCTCTAGATGCATTTTCACTTTATGAAACCCATCTTCTTAAAAATAGGTACAACCATTCCTTGCCACCGACATCCTTCGTGCACTTTCAAGTGGCTTTTTTAATTTTTTTATATGTACACACATATATAGATAGATAGATATACACTTGTTTGTGTGGGTGGTGCTTGTATCTGTTTCTATGTTGAAATCCTATTGTTTAATGACAACATTTGACTTACTTTGGATTTGTTGACTTCTATTATACCGCATCTTATGGAATATATGTTGAACTCCTTGGTTTTTTTTTTTTTTTTTTTTGACAAGTAAAAAAGAGTGGAAAGTCATACTTTTTTGTTTATGATTGATTTGAAGGATTAGGACTGAAACCCTAGGCTCTAATGTAGAGTAGCGTAAAGCCGTGATCAAGACCTAGAGGGAGGGTGAATAAGTCTTAATTACGCAATTATTTTAATTAAAATTTCATAATCAACTAACTAGAAAGCATGTAAATTAGATCATTCATCATATTTAAAAGCATATAAAAACATGTCCAAGTAAAACAAGCAATCACACGATGAACACAGGTTTTTCACGTGAAAACCCCAAGAAGAGAAATCATGGGACCTAGTGTAGGCAGATAAATCCCCTGTGAGAAAGAGATTATACAACTAGGTTGACCAGTTCCCCCAATCCTAGAAATTCCCTGGTTATTTTTTGGCATAGACTTATGAAAACTCTCTGCTCAAGTCTCCAGACTGCTGCTCTGTTAACAGATCTACTCCTCACACAATCCGCTTCTTCACCAGTACATTAGTCTCCATGACTGCTAACATCCACACTACGTGTTTGTTGAGCGGAAACATTTAGTTTCTGAATTCTCCTTAGAGCACAACAATAGTTGATGATCAACAACTCAATAACAACCTCAAAATACTAGATGCAATAGTGAATATGAAAAAGGAGAAAACTCAAGCAAGGAATTGCTTGATCGCACTCTAATATGCTCCATTTGCTCTATGTATGCTTAGAGACTGATTGCATAGGTTTTCTGATCATGTGTGGGCTTTATATAAAATTTAGAAGCCTATAGAGGCTAGCTTAAAAAGAGATTCAATTCTATTTAGAAACTGAAATTTGTGGGTCTCAATCGATCAAGCCAATTGTTAATCGGTTGACACATGTCCAGTAACCTTTGAGAAATTTGTCAATCAATCGAAGTGCCCTGTCCTTATTGCATCGGAATTTTTATTAGGAAAGTTCCAAAAATATGTTTTTGCACTTAAAAAAAGGATTTTTATGAATCAAAACATGGAATGCAGAAAACTCTAATTAAATGAATGCATTAAAACATTAACCCCAATGGTGAGTGAGTGTTGAAATTACATTTCTCTCCTTAATTGTAGCTTCACTTCCAAATTTGCCCTTGGACTGAGGTAATACAACCAACTCTAACTAACTAACTTTTGAAAACAATCTAAAAGTTAAACAAAAATACTAACTCAAGCTTTTATTACGAAATTTGTCAGAAGTTCTATTAACTTAACAAGTTTCAATTCCTTTTTTCTTTTCTTTTACATGAAACAAGTCAGCAAAGAGCCTCCTTCTATGCTCGGACTAGCGATTTTTTTTTTTTTTTTTTTTTCTTTCTAATTTAAGTTCAAAAAGCGCTTGTTTTTTAATTCAATCTGTATTAGTTCTCCATTTCACTAATCTATCGATAAAAAAAAGCGATCTATCCCCCTTTTTTCTGTATTGATTTCTGTCTCTTTCTCTCTCTCATAGTAATCAATAAACAAACTAACATCTAAAGGATCCCCCATGGGGTAGCTGAGTTGGTATAAGGCGTCTGGGCAATGACCAGAGGTTTTGTGTTCAACTCCCGAGGGTGTCAAGCCTCTGCCCTGGGCTTACAAAGAATACCTGTAGTTTGGGGGTGGTTGCGAATATCCAAAGGGTAATAGTCCCTCCTCTAAAGGATGTGGAGACACCCTCCGTCACCCCCAAAAAGAAAAAACTAGAATAAAAATAAAAATCTAAAGGAGTTATTTTAAAAATCTAAAGGGTGCGGAGACAGCCTCCTTGTAATTACAGTCCATGCAATTATTTAATTTTTTATTTCCTTTTCCGAATATAGCTTCTCTTCTATAATTCCTTAAAGCTTCTCAATTATCTGGCTTTACTTCTATGCCTTATGGACTACTGACTTCCATCCCTGCTATATCCCCCTATTTTGTTTTTGTTCTTTATTAACATTCCAAGCTGAAGGTATTGCCACTTCGCTGGCTGCCAGCGATGCTGTCACCCATCTCACTATTCAAAGCTTCTTCCTCTTCCCTATATGTAGGTATTTCACCCTTCATCTGTGTACCTTTGACTACCAGCCGTGGGGGATCCATCATAAAGAGGGACAATAAGCCAAAGAGTAAGGCATACAACATCTTAACCAATTTGCTATATTCTCACGGATGGTTATCTAATATGTAGTTTTTCATTTTGCTTAAATTTTGATTTCTCAAATGATTTTGACTGAGGAAATTTCCAGAACTATTGTTTTATTAGTAACTCAGATGCCCAGAATGAGATGTCTGCACTAGTTGTTTTCTGTTTCATAGACTGCTCCAAGTCTGAGATTCTTTGATAATTATTTTTCAACAACCAAAAAAAAAAGACAGAAAAAAAGAAATGGAATGGATGGAATGTTTTTGACAGAGTGGCTGTTTATGGATATAGATTGCCACACTGCCTAGAATATTTAAATGAGTGGTGTAGCTTATTTTCTTTTGTGTCTTTGGATTAACAGGTAGATATACTATGTTGGGCACCATTGTCATCCTAATCTTGTAAAACTGATTCCCTACTGCTTAAAATGATGAGCATAGAGTTTTGATGTATGAGTTCATGCCTAAGGGTGGCATTGTGTATCATTTATTAACAGGTGCGTTGTCTATATTCTCTATTACACTTCTGTCTTTGGAAAGAATCAAATTTACTTTCACGATTCAAATTTATGATTTTAGTTGACACATTAAATTATTGTTTAAAGAGGTCTTACTTTCGCAATTCCTTGGGGCCTCCAAATGAAAGCTGCTCTTGATGCGACATAGGATGTTGCCTTTCCTAACAGTGCCGAAACAAAAATTTCTTGTTGGGACTTCATGAGTTATGCTTCCTGCTTCACTTACTATGTAAGTGCAGAAGCATACGTTGGTTTCAATTCTATAATGTTGTTGAACTTGATGATTTTTAGTGGTGTTGTTCCTATTTTCACCCTTTTACCCTTTTTGCTTTTAATTCACAGAACTGGAACTCCAAACTTATAAAAATTTTGGGTTGGCAGACAGCCAACTGGCAATAGGTTCCATATCAGCACTAGGGTCATGATGCTCTGGAGTACCTATCCACCTACAGGTATACCTTCTTCTTGGTTTATTTGATGGCGTCCTTGATTTATATCAGGTTTTTTGGCTTCATGCACCTTTCTTTACTTTGTCTAATTACTCGTTTGCCACTCAGTCGTTCTTTTTTTCTTTCTAATTTTCGGTTAGTTGCTTTATATAATTTTGTCACCAGTTGATGTAATGCTTCAATTAACTTTTACCTTTATATGTTATGTTTTTCATCTTTGACCTAATTAGTTTCTGAAATAAAAGGTAATGCATACTGTAAGGATACTAATATGTGTTAACGAGGAATTATTCATTACACTTTATTAAGAGAGTGTCACTGCAGTAGTGTTATACAGTATTTTTTAAACTGTTTAGACAAACTTGAGTTCAAGAAACTCTTTTGTGGTAAAAACTGATATTTGGTAGTTCATTTGTCACTGTCAGAGGTTTTTGGAATCCTGTCTATGTTGTAAAATGCCTTGACAACCAACCTTTTCTTTATATAAATTGTATGTCCTCCCAAAAAACAATTAGAAAACCACCCTGCTTGTGGTTCCTCCATTTCCAGACTTCCAATCCAAGTGCTTCTGTGAAGTTACAACTGTAACCAGCCTTATATTGTTTACATACTCTGCCCACATCCACCCCTCTTCACTGCAGAAAAATTTCAGCTCACATGCTTAGTTTACTTGTATCATATGATTACCTTGGTCAATTAATTCAAGTACTTATTATACTGGGCACTAGTTGGTTTCATTTTGCATTGTATTATTGATTTTGATGAACTGAAGGATGCACTCTGTTTTCTGATCATGATTGCATCTGTTTTGGGAAAGGTCATCAATAAAGCTTCGGAGCTGTTCTAGAAATTTTCCTGGTAAACGAGTAACAGACAAGAACTGCCATCTGGAGAAAAGACCTACAAGTGGGCGAGGCCTTTCCTTGACAAAAAATGTTCTGGATGTCCGTTGCAAAGGCCATTACTCACTTGGTCGGCCCCTAATGGCAGCTAACCTATCACTTCAATACCTATCAAAAGAACAAAAGTTGTGGCAGAGCATGAATGAGGTGGTACAGCTTTAGAGCAGCTTCGGGACACAAAAGTGTATGGTGAAAAAGATACTCAAAAAGACCAGTTAAGTCGTGAGGACAATTCCAAGTGTGGACCTATGTTCTGTAGAAGTGCAGAGGGATGTCATGGAATAACTCGCAACACTAGGGAAATATAGTTACATTAATGATGAGCACGGGAGTTTTTTTGAAGGATTGTGGTACGAGTGATTGGTTTGTGTAGCATTACTTTTTATTCATAGGATACTGGGCTTATTCATCTTTCTTTTCCTTTGCAATGGAATTTAACAGCGTTGGCTTATCTGTTATGTTTGTGATGCCGGACCTTGCTGAAGCCCAACCAACCTGGAATTAACTGGCCTTAGTTTTCAGAAAGTGTGAAATGCGATTTTAGCCAAAGTATATGGTGTCAGAGAGAGAGGGGTAACGCTGCTTTCCTGACCCAGCCTCTGCTTAATAGGGGATTCTTGTGCACTGGGTACGACAGTGTTTACGGTGTCAGAGCTGACCTCAAAATCTGCCCCTGAGAAGTATTTAGTTCAGCCCTATGTTAAGAAAAATGAGTTCTTGTTATCCTTACTCTTGTCTCTTGACTGGATTCGTAAGGTTGGCAGGCTTATTCTGTTGCCATTGTTGGAAGCTGTTGTTGCGCATACATTATTCGAGTATATTGGGTAACAGTGAAATATTGTTTAAGAACCTCAAAGACCTTGACTTAATGTTTAATGTCAGAAAATTTCACAAATGAACTCTGTTTATGCTTGTTCTCCTTTTCTTTTTGTATTTTGTTGACGACGACAATATGTTGAGACCTTGATTGAATGTAAGGGAAAAAAATTTACAGATGAACTTTATTTCTGCACGTTCTGCTTTTCCTTTCCATCCGTATTCATGTTAATATATTGTTTTTGGCTGCTGACATGTTAATAAAATAGATGCCAAAGTTGTGACTATGTGCAAGAATTAATAGTACAAACCCAAAAAAAATTGAAAAAGGGGATGTGAACTCGCTTATGGGAAAGAAGAAAAACAAAGCAATGCTATGAGCGCCTTCAATCCAATGTTCATTGAGAGCCAAAGATCTCAAAAGGCGTCGAGATGAAGCTGCAGAAAGCAGATGGCCATTGTTGGACCAGAAGACATTGTCCTTGTATTCAATTCAATTCAATTCAATTCCATGCCCCTGCAACTCATATTATATTGGTGCACCCAAAAGGGCCCCAAAACAACAGTAGAGAACAATGTGTGTATTTTGGAATGCTACTGAAAATTGTGTGAATTAAAAAAAAAAATGATTCTTTTTACAAGAATAGGAATCTCTACTCGATACCAATCCTTGTCAATCTGTACTTCAAAGACAGGGTATGGTTTGTGTGTAATTGAGTGATTCGTAAAAGATTTGTTTGATTGCTCTTGTACCGGTTAATAACCCAAGTATTTAAGATCTTAGATAAAACCAGACCACTGTTTGCTTTAGCAACTGAAAAACTAAGAGCATCATACACTAAACTTTACGTTTACAAAAACTTTAATTTCTCTAACAAGATGCAAAAGATGTAAAAGCTGAAATTTACATGACAGGAAAATCAAAAACCCCTACTCCTTGACGCTTCGTGTCTCCATTCCGCACTTGGCTGCCCGGCTCGGTGCACAGGCGCCCCATAATATTGCCCTCCACCAGGCTGACTTTCTAAAAGACTGGGCATACTTGGCCGCAAGACATTGTGGCCAGACGGCCGGGCCAACCACGCACCCTGCATCACATTAGCTTGAGGATGCAGAGACGGGGAAGGCATGGCAACGGGTGCTGCTAATTGCACCATTGGCTGCTGAGGCATAGCAGCTAGTCCTAAATGTTGTTGATTCACTGCATGGGGCAACCTCAGCTGCTGCTGAAAGCCATGCCTCGATGCTTGGGGTGTAGGCTGCTGCTGGGGGGCTTGTGGCTGCCACTCGGGTATGTCGTCATCTTCTTCGTCATCGTTCCATGGGTTAATTCCAACCCCAACCCCTTTTTTGTCCTGCCAATTAGGTGAAGCAACAGCGCTTCCAGTTTGCCCATATTTATGTATAAGCTCTCTCACATGATCCACGGGACGAGATGGTGCTTGTAAAGGGGTCATTCCAGACCCATGCGATGGGTTTTGGCTAGAAAATTTTGGCAGAGACAGGTTTGGACCACCGGAGAAGTTAAACTCAGGCAAGTCATCTTCATCCCGGGCAGGGCCAGGGCCAGGGCCAAACCCGGGAGGAATATCATCATCATCAACATCAGGAGGGGGTTGAGAATTAAAAGAAGTTGCACCCAGATGCAAAGGAGGTTCTGATGCATAATTCACATTCATATTTGTTTCTTTATCTTGCGGTCTCCTAGAAGAGAAATGTTGCTTTTTTGAGCTGCGTTTATGGTAAGAAGATGAGTTGGGTGATACTGTGGAAGTTAAATGTACTTTTCTCCATACAACAACACCAATTAGGCCATTATCCATAGATTTAAGCACTTCAGTATGATCCTTGGGCAGGTTCTTGCTTAGCATTTCAAGTATTTTTGTGTGCGGTGGGCAGAAATAGAGTTCCACTCCAGGCGCTGGTTCAGCAAAACCCAACCTCTCGTCCATCACGTATGAATCCACCACCTGCAATGGGACAATTTTGAGTAAGCAAGAAAAGGATGAGCGTTGTTAGAAGATAATATGATAATAAACAAGGTTGTATGGTCACCTCAGAAAGGCTAGCATGCTCATTCTCAGAAGATCCCTCCTTCAAAACAAATTCGACCACCTATATATACATAGTTCAGAAAGTGAGAATTCATCAATGAGTTCAATGGCAAAATGAAAAATAATACAAAAACATTTTTACACACATATGTATATACAGAGTTATAATAGTCTATTATCCTTTTCTGATTTCTGCAGTGCTATTATCCTATATTTTATTCTCGTTTAGACTTATCAATTTCTACAATTTCTGTGTGGAAATTTCCGTAATCCATTTTCTTCTATTCCCCCAACCCACCCATCCATTCTCCCATATATTTTCCAAAGAAAAAGTAATGTATCATCATGTCCAACCACATTCTGGATAATTGATCAACTAATTGATTCAGATAACATGTGATTACTATTTTACACTGTTACAACAGATATATGCTTATCATATATGGATAAGGGTCATTTTTCTTTTCACCTTTGAAACAAGGGACTCTCTCTTTCCTTTTATTCTTAAGGCCATCTTGGAGTTATAATTCTTGAGGCAAGTCATTATTACTATTACTTCTTTCTTTTCAGCATAAATAGTAAACATGACAAATCAGATTGAGTTGAAGAGTGTGCAACTATTTGTTTCATCTGGAATGGGCATAGATGCAAAGTATTAGCCATTACAGAATGCTATCTTCTCTATTTCCAGCAAAATTTTCAGTCGAACAAAGAACTTTAAAATAAAATTATTCGTGAGTATGATGGGTAAGGGGGAACCAACACAGAAACTTCTTTCTTTTCATTTTTTTTCCCGGTAGGGGTGTGGTTCTTAGACAAATTATTCGTCTAGAGATAAATAGTTCCCATTTATTTTTTGTCTCAAACAAGCAGCTGACATACATTCTCATTAGTTTATAACAAATGCCATTTGCCATGGATAAAAGGAAGGAAACTTGAGATACCATGACTGCACGACTTCGGGACATAGGAAGTTCCTGAAGGAATTTTTCAAAAGCGTCAAGTCTTACTCTACCCTTGATCTCAAGAGAGCTGGGCCACTCTTTTGTTGATGTTTTTTCACCACTGCAAGAAGAGAAGGCATATCAGCTAAAAAGAAACCAACAATACAGAACAACGTGACAAGAAATTTTTCTTCGGTAAGCAAGACAACAAATTTTTCTCTTTCAAATAACATTATAACCCAGTGAAGATCATATTAAAATGCATCCCATTTTCAAAAGAAATGCAGTGCATTTGTCGGCTAAGATCTGGAGATGGCATCATCACGGACCAGAAATCGTTGTTCAATTGAAATTGAATATAACATCCATTGCATTAACATAACAGTTCATGTTAATTCAAGCTTGAAAAACAAAGAGAAGTAATTATGAAGTGTAAGTGCATCAAGTAGGGGTTGTTGCATGGTGCACCGCTAAGAAAATTTGACCGATGCGTGTCACATCATGAATTCGATTTTATGACATCCACTCACACTAAAAAACAATGTTTTAGGTCTGTCTCCTATCTTCCCATCTTAGCACCCCACACAGGAGGAACATGCACTGCATATCCTTTTAAGTACATCAAGGGATCTATAGAAAGGAAGGTTATCCAATAAAGATCTTGATTGGCTACCAAGGAAATTTGAATCTAGCACAGTAAACCAAAATGCAAAACACCATTATATTTGTACATTCAACCTAAAGTTAGTTTTTTCAATTGATATTTTTTATTCCAAATAAAGGCAGTTTCTGGACCAATTTTCAAAGTGATCAGGTTTTATAAATTTGCTTGAAGTGAAGTTCTAGTCTCAAATTTCTGCAATTTCATTCAGTATAACAATGCTCCAAAGTTTATTCTGTAATCAGAGTATAAAACTAGTCTAATCCGCATCATTATACATGATGTTTATAGCTAATTTAGGTCAATATATATGCATGTGTACAAGTCGGTGTATGCATGTATTTTCAATTTTGTTTCTAATAGAATAGACTTGGTTAGGAGGCCCATAAGCAAGAACAACACAGAAAATGTTTAGTCAAATATAGGCGTATATAATACAAATATAAAGAAAGAGAAATAAACAATAGCTTCAATAGGTATGCAAATGAATGAATTACTATCCAGGAGATAATTTCAATATCTGAGAGGATGCGCAATGATCCTATCACAACCTGATAAGGAAGTTAGAATTGGGCCTCTCACAAGTCCAGCACAAAAACGTTGGGCGTGCCACTGATAGAATAATTACAGACTATGGCATCCTTGCAGCCAAAAAGCACATAAAATAACCGTAGATATGCGCACACACAGAAGATCATATGGATAATGAACGGTAAATAAGATATAGCAGCAGACACAGAAGATAATACAGGTAATGAACAAGTATTCTAATTACGAACTGCAGCAGGGAACAATTTGCAATGATGAGAATGTTTACTAAGAAGAGGCACACCTTCTAAAGCAGCCAACAACTGTGACCATGGCCGATATACTAATCTGAAGTACACCTTCCCAGACATGTTCACCCTTAGACGCACCTCCAGGGGGGGACTTCTTTTGTTCTGTAAGATTCTCACTGGATTTCACTTTCACATCTAATTCTGTGTACTTCACATCCATTTTATCAGCCTTACCCTCTTTGTCAACTTTACCTGAAGTGGTCTCTTCAGGATCTTTAGAAGGATCAGAAGCTACCAATTCCCGGCCAGCTTCCAAGCTTTCCTTTTCTGAATGAGGTACAGTCTTTCCAGCATCCACTGGTAAGTTTTCAAATGGAGGTTCTGAATCAAGGGATTCCATAAACTCATCTAGGGAGACAATAGGAGGAAGAAAATCCACATCCTTCAATTCCTCCACGATCAGCCCTTGCATTAAATCAGCCCCGTCACTTGGGATAGTAAGGCTACATGAAGGATCCTGTTTTTCTGAACTACTCTTGTCATCTACAACATTCTCTCTGTCATTATTTCCATTAGATTTAGCAGGGGGTTGACTTCCAGTCTCCTTTTTTTTGGGTCGATTGTGAGAGAGCGAACTTGTCCCAACAGAAACCTCCACAGAAACACCATCATCTTGATCAACTTCTACTTGAAACTCACCCTTGTGTGTTTTCTTCACCAGACGCCTTATATCAATATCCGAGTCAGGCAAAACAACCATTTGAGCAAGCTCTTCTGCTTTTGCCATTCGCCACTCAGAAAGCTCCTTTGAAGCTAGTTCCTCTGCCGTCATAGAACATAATCGCTCGGGGGAAATTTCGCCAGATATGACTCTTTCTCTCAGTTCTGGATTACTACGATCCTTTAGATTGAACAACAGAGATCTTCCCTTCTCTTTATATTTCTTATTCACACCCCCAAATAATTTGAAGAGTTCTGCTTCAATCTTAAAGGCTAAATTTTGAGGAGACTGAACCGCTTGCTCTCCCCTAGCTGCACCCACATTCTCGTGCACCAACTTGGGTTTTTTGGCCACTTGAACTTCCTTTGTTTCTGCCAACTCCATATCAAGATCCATTGCCCAAGTCAGCCCATTTCCCTGCAAGAGTTCATCTTTGACAAAGAAATTGTCACCCAATGATACATCCCGATGGAGTAAAAAAGTGTCAGACTGTAATGCTTGTCCATTGCAATTCAAGGTTTGTACTGAATGATCCATGCCTTCTATAGTCTGAGATGTGCTTTGCCCGTCATTGAGTTTATCAGCAGAACAAGATTCTTTGGAGGGCAAGGTATCCATAGGGTTTTCAGAAACATAGTCGGAAGCATCAGCAGAGGTGGAAGTGGATTCAACAGGCTGAGAAACTTCCTGCATCTGCCGTGGACTAACTGCAGCTTCACTCTGAGATTTCTTTTCCTCGTTTGGAGCTTTATTTTGATTCTGAGAAACCAAGGCCAATGCAGAAGCTAATGAATCCCTCATCTTGGACCTAACGGATTCAAATGATTCAGTATGAACTTTGGGAGAATGTTCCATTTGCACAGTTCGATTTTTGGGAGTGTGTGAGTGCTGTGACCCAGATCTACTGGAAATGGAATCATTCCTTACCATTCTCTTATTTGGTGCAGGTGAATTTTGCAAACCTGAAGTACCAGACATGGGTTGCATCTGTATAGTTTTTTTATGAGGTACAGATGGCGGCTGCAAACCAGGTGCACCAGAGAGGATTTCCATGTGTGCCATAGGCTTGTTTATAACTGGTAGCTGTTGAAGCACGAAATTATTGGACATAGGTTGAGGCAGTTGAGGCACAAAATTATTGGACATAGGTTGAGGCATAAAATTATTGGACATAGGTTGAGGCATAAAATTATTGGACATAGGTTGAGGCACAAAATTATTGGACATAGGTTCCCTTCGCTTATTTGATAACAACTTCTGTGAACCCATATTGTTGAACATTGCTTCCATTTCTCCAACATGCTGGTTTGGCAATATAAACTGCTGCGACCCCAAATCGCTCCGCTTAGGTTCCATCTGCTCAATATGCCTGCTTAATGCTGGTAAGCTATGTGACCCAGGACTGTCAGACATGGGGTCAACCAGAACCATTTGATTGTCTGATATTACCAACTTCTGAGATGCAGCATAATTGGAAATAGGCCCAATTGTTCCAATTTGCATGTTTGATATTGATGGGTCCAGGTTGTTGGAAATAGGTTCCATCTGGCCCACCTGCTTGTTTAGTAACGATAATTGCTGCGATACAAGATTGTTGGACATGCTAGACTAGCACCATAAAACATATACAACTGCAAGTCATTTTTTAAATTTAATATGCTCAAATCACGATTTTACGACGTGCCTTTATGTCATCACTGGAACGGAAATATGGACCCCTGCATTAAAAAAAAAAAAGTGTTACTATTCCCTTCAAAACCACAGCTCATGAGCAAAAGATAAAATGAACTGACAGATTATGCAGGTTCAGCTGTAAAAATTCAATAGATTGAACAACATATCAACAAAACACAGAATATATAGTTGAAAGAGCAAAAGTCAATGTTTATACGACAATATTTTTTTGTGTCAGCACACATAGAGGCAACACTTGAAAGGCAGAAAGTTCACAAACTAATTTTAAAACCTTTTTACTATAGCCAGATCCCTACCTCGTAGGTTAGAAGTACAGAACTAATACACATTACAAGTGACAAATATACTCTTGTCATCAGTCACCTATATATTCGTTTCAAGATCTCCAATCTCCATGAAAATCGGGATCTAGGATCAGAAGGCAACTTTAAATAATTCATACCTCTGAAGAAAATAACCAAATAGACTAAAAAAAATTGAATTTGTGAACGTAATCCTCTAGAAAATTCTTCCTTGAAGATGCCACATGCCATTGTTTCCACAAGACTGGCACTATTTAAAGGTTGCATACTCAATACAATGCTAATTGATCTTACCAAATCTTTATTGCAGATAGATAAGTACACCATTTCAAATCAAATATTAAATTAAGAAAAGCTAAGAAGAATATGAACACGTCAACAAGAATCTCAAAAGACTAGGGCACACCACACAAGACAATAAGATATTTATTTTTATATACAAGAATGTTACTATTTATGAAAAACATTATTTCATTATAACTAAATCTAATATTCTATTATGAGATTAAATTCACTACTTATAAATTATATAACCAGAATCACCTTTGTCACATAAAGAAAGTCATGGTCATAACAAATACACAGATTTTTGGTGTGTATGGGCATAGATATGTATGTAGTTTGATAAGGTTCTGTCCTTTTCTACTCTCAAGTCCAATCTTTTGATTAATTCTTTGTAAATCTTATGCTTTTCTCCAAACTGTTTATAGTTTTTACTTCTATAAAAATCTTTAATTTGATTTATTTTTAACAATTATTATTTCTTTATCCAATGTACAAGTCTCAATAATCGCATGTCAGTGTTTGAAAAGTGTTCACCATGTGTAAACTATAAACCCATCCAAACACATCTGGAAGTGTCCAAGAAATGAAATGTCTTACAAAAACACAATTCCTTGTTAGAAGTGTCCATATTTTCCCAGTAGAATATAAACATATTTCATATGACGATGTTGTCTTGACGAGTGTGCTCACTTGAGCATGTTTACATAAGAGAGAAAAATATAAAGAAGAAACTAGGAAAAAATATATATATAAAGACGACTTTCACATTAATGAAGAAAAAGAGCAACCAAAAGGAAAGCACTTATATATTAAACAGCACAGGCACAAAATAATAGTTATGGATGTGGAACAAATAACAAAGCAAACCACAGGTAATAGAACAGTACAAGGCTTTACAATGGAGCAGCTATCCAAACAAGATTGCTACAACAATTAGCTCGTTAAAAGGGCACTTCTGGGATCCTTGAAAAATATTTTCAGACTTCATATTCTTTTCTTTCTATTCTCACAAAAGCTTTGCTTGGAGTCAATTGCAGAAAACAAACAATATGTACATATCCAATCCAATTGAGGATGAATAGGAGGAAACCTAGGCTTACTAATGCCAATACACTAAGTTTTATGAACAGTTCATCCTACAGATAAAATTTAGGTGTGCTTCGCTTACATTTTCAGTAACAGCGGGTAAAAGGGCTAGCCCAGTGCACGAGGCTCCCGCCATTGCGGGGTCTGGGGAGGGTCTGTACACAAGTCTTACCTCCGCATGCAGAGAGACTGTTCCACCAAGACCCACCCTCTATTTTCAGTAACAAAAGGTCCACTGCTTAAAACCAGAGTTTCCACAATTTGTACCATACTCAATAGGTGATTCAAAATCCATAGCTGTTGAATAAAAATGAAATTTCATCTAGAATGCCATATATTGAACTCATATTTTAAAAACCAAATGTATTGTTAAGGACCAGAACATCGTAAAAATAATAATAATAATAATAATAATAAATAAATAAATAAATTAGACATACTATTTAACCATGGTTGACCAAGTCAAGTATGAATATGGCGTATAAAAGCATTCTTGCATATCTCCAAGGCAGAGACAACGCATAATGGTATTTTTTAAAAACTTGAAACATTTTACAACAATGTCATTCCTATGCCTTGATTCTCTTTCATAATTACATATACAAATACCAACAGCCTCAACAAGCATGCTGTTAGACGAGCAAGATAAGCAAAACTTTACAACGTTTAACTTCATCACACAGTTCTGCGAGAGAAAAGATACTCTGAGAATATTTGAGATCGACACAGACTCATTTGCTATGACAACACTTTTGGAAACAATTTGATCTCTTCTATTTATTATTAATGATGTGTTGCATGCATCTAAGCATCTAGCCGCCTCCTTTCTTTTAAGCCATACCCAAATTGAAGAATACCACGTGGTGAGTAGAGTGTAGAAGCTGCCAACTTCAACAATCATCTCAAATTATATAACATGCCTTTCCCAAATTCTCAAGAGCATTCAACTCCTCTAGTACCATAATGAGTAATTGGTGAACCCCTTTCTTGTAGTGAGCAACACAGAATAACCCTGCGAAATTGGTTAACATGAAACATTTTCATGAAGACATTCACTACCCTCCCACACCCCCAACCCACCAAAACCAGGGGGGGAAAAAAACTACTTATTAATAACCAAGTTTGTTGATTTCAGTAAGGATGTGTTTGATTTAAAGGTTTTATTGGGGATGTAAGAATGAGATTTGGATTTGAGACCTTCAAATCCAAATCTTGTGTTCAGGACTCAATCCTCAAAATGAACTTGAATTTTGACCCCAAATCCAGCTTTCGAACTTTGCTATGAAAATAAGATTTATGAATTATAAGGTATGAAGTGTTATTAGCAAATTCACAAGAACCAAAAGCAAATAAGAAGTTTGACGGGAAAAAAAGTTATAAAATTAAGATCATCAATGTCAGTGCTATTTCTTTTTCTTTTTTTTTTATATGTAAAGATTGTATAAATAGTGTTCAAAAGGGGAACGTGTCCCTCAAAAGCTACATAAGGCCAATGTCAGTGCCATTCTTACAACCACAATTACTAGTACCCTTGTCACACAACCAGAGACAATACAATCACCAACAACGCACCACATCTCCACCACCACAACCATTATATTGTTCTTATCAACACTCAATCGGAACTACCACCACTAGCTATACTGCTTCAATCTCCATGGCAGCACACAGCCACTGGAATTATCTTCACCGTTGCTATAACCATAATACCACCACCAAAATATCTCCCACCATCCTCCACTAGCACCCCATCTCCAAAACAGCACCAAACAGGTATCAATGCCAACAACACAACCATAATACAATTGCTAATGCCACCACTATCACCACATTAATCATAAAAATTCATAGCTTCATCTGGTTATAGTCAACACCACCATCACATCATCCTTCATTAAGGTGACTCCACTATCACCATCACTATCATATCCAATACTTACCTATCATTACATGATTCCAAATTATTATTTTGAAAATGTTAAATTCAAATATAAATTTACAAAAAAAGAAAATCTCAATGACACATCCAAATAGTGGAATTCAAGTTCCACTAACTTACAATTCTAGGATTTTCAATTATTATAATTAAAATAAATAAAAAAAATTGATAAGTAATTCTTAGAATTAACAATTCATATATCAATTCCAAGTCTATGAACCAAACACACCGTTTTGGTTTTTGTCAACTGTGGGTAAATGTGTACAGTCAAATTGGCTGCATCTTCATTACATCATCTAGACGTTAAGTTTGCATAAAATTAAAAAAAATCAAAACAAGAACCATGTATGCTTCAAGAATGGTTGAAGGAACTGGTTTTTCCAGTTCCCCGTCCAAGTAAGCAATGATGAAACTGCCACAGATTTTTGTTGCATAATCTCGAACTATATTGATTCATTGAATGAGCCAGAAAACAACTTTTTTTGTTAAACCCTAGTATATATTAGATCTTTAGACAAAAGACTGTAATTTTGAAAAAGTTGACTCCTCCAAGAAAGGGGAACTAGCATTACATAATATGATATATACAAAATCAATTCCACTAAAGAGAGAATGAAAAAAAAAAAAAAAAAAAAAAAATTCTTCCTTAAAATAGGGTGGAGCATTGGAGCTGGAATGGAAAATAAAATAACTTTATGAAAAAGAAATGAAAAAACACCAACTTGAAAATACCGATTACGACAGGAGCATAATCATCCAAAGTTATGTTTTTATTAGCTTCCAGAATTTCAATTGAAGACTTCGAGGCACCCAGCTCAACCGCTTAACAACTCTCGGACATTGAACACACAAAAAAATTTCTTAAAACTTCTGGCAGAGGCTAATAGCTCAAATAGTTTACATTATGTAAATCAAACAAAGGTCAAACCATTCCATTTAACCAATCACAATAAAAATAAAACGAACTCAAGTATCTGGCCGCTAGTTGTATGCATAAAATAACTTCAAAACCCTGAGAGGAAGATATGATATCAATCACCACCATAATATTGATGAAAAACTTCAATATGCTTCTTTGCTGCCAATATGCTTTAGATTTCGACAAGCTTTTAAAGCCTGAAGGTAAGATTTGGCAAATTGAAAATTAGAAAGAGGAAACAAAAGCAAATGTAAAATGATATTAAACTACTTGGGCTAAAAAATAAAGTCAACACTAAGTTCCTCTAACTCTAGTTTTTCGTGAGTACCATCAATAAGGCCTTAATTATGTATTTCATTCCCAACATATAGATCAACGAAAGAGACCTATATAGTAGAACTTAAGAATGGGTTAAACTGTACACCAGGGCAGCATTCCTAAAAAGATTCTTAAAGTCATATTCCTACAAGATCAAGCTTTCTTCTTAGGGTCCACTTTATTTTAGAAGATCCTGATAACTGCTGACCTTGGTTCAAAAGATAGATATTCATAATCAATTTGTTAGAGCAAACACCTGCCCAAGTAACCCAATTGGTATATTACCCACTCACCCACTGCACTGTGGCCAAAGTCATTAGGTCCATTACAAATCTTCCATTACGATAAGCTGACATACTACAAAAGTTATCTGCTCAAATCATGGCATTTCAAAGCTCGGGTTAAGAGAAAAGGCAAGTTTTGGAAGTTGACTGCTCTTTCTAAAAGGATTCGAGTAAAAGACACAGAAAGTTTTGAAAGTTGACCCTGATATTTTGAATTATTACAGGAGAGGAACCCCAATAAATTCTTAAAATGTAAAACTCATGTTTAGTTCATTGTCCATAAATTCTAAAGACTAACTAACCTCTTGAGCTTCAGTTGAGGAGCTTGTTGAGATTCCGTGCTTTATTTATTTATTCCCCTTTTAGGAAGGGGATCAGTCTACCGTTTGGTTATCCAAAAAGTTTCAACTCTTTGTGCCCTTCCATTTATAAGATGTAAATTCATATAAGCTAATTCATGCAAATACAATAATCTACCAATAATAAAAATACTTGAAGCCAAATTAAAACGTAAGACAATGGAAATGCATAGAAGTGACGTAAGCTATAATTCAAAGTTTTTGTATTGCTTGCCCTTTTCTCCCCCTCCGAGAAAACCACAGAGAGAGCTCAGACACATTTTTCGGATTCAGTATTTTATGATTTGTGATATATATATATATATATATATATATATATATATATTTGATACAACGGTATTGCACTCAATTACCATACAAAGATAAAACTAAATTAACATGTAGAATGATGAGAAAATTATCAGTAATACACATCTAAAAAGAATGCAAAATACCACAATTTTGGCTGCTAATTAAACTCACACAACTCTGAGAATTCTTTAAATTTCCCTTTCAATCTATGAATCTATACCGCCAGATAGAAATTCGTTTATAAGAGAATATAATTACCAAAAAAATAATAATAATAACAAATGTGAAGGAAAAAATAACAAGATACGAGATTGTGGTGGTCGGGAATTACCTGATCGGAAGATGAAACTGCGGAGGAGAGAGTGGGAAGCTGAGAAGTGAGTCGGCTAGATAGAGAGAGAAAGAGGAGAGAGAAAGGTCGAGTTTATCTGCTAGAACAATATAAACCCTAGAAAGATCCACTCGTGCTTGACGAACCGCTTTCGCTAGCGGGGTAGGCTTGACACGTGGCATATATTAAGTGGGACCCCCTTGCGGTGGACCGTTTCTTGATCGATGATCAGATGGTTTTTGACGGTTAGATTTGAAGACTTTTCTGTTTGATATGTATGAAAAAAAAAATATATATATATATATATATATATACAAAAAGTAAATGGAAATTACCCATTAGCGTAGCATTACAAGAAAATATTGTCACACGCCGGATTGAAATGAGTAAGTAATTTGATTACAACTTTAATTATTAAATTTAATATAGTGGGGGTAAATACTTATTTATCAAATGAGATATGATAATTTAATTATCATTTATAATTTAGTAATTAAAATAAAATGTGTCCACTTATTATTGATTCACATGAACTGTCAATAGGATCTACTTATTGTTTTTTGATATATATGAATTGAGTGTTAATATCATATAATAGAGTAACACCGAATCTTGCCAAGCGTCCGGTTCAGATGTGATTTTATAAAATGACAACTATATTCCTTCAGTATATAAAATGTAATATAACATTTGGTAAATTACTTTATATATATATATATAATTGTTAGCCTACTTGAGATAAATTCAAATAGGTTTTTTTTTTCTTTTCTTTCATTATTCAATGAAAGATTCAAAGGAATTAGGATTAGGTTTTCATTAAAAAAAAAAAATAAAGATGTTTTAGAGAGAAGAAAGAGAGCATTTTTAGATAAAGAAAGAGGCCTAAAACTCATCTTAATAAGTTTAGTTTTAATGTTATTCTAAGAGTAACTTGGTAAGATTAAATCTAATTGTTAGCCTACTTGACGAGGGTGGTGTGTAAGGTTTGGTTTTTAGGGGTGATCTAAGTATTTTTTTAAATGATAGGGAAAGTTTGTGTAATTATGGCAAACTTCCCCGAAGGTCTGCGTAATTTACTCTATATTACAATATAAGGGCATTGGAGACTTTTCACACTCTTCGGGTCAAAGTTTGTGGTTTTTTTTTCATTGACAAGAAACTCACACACACTACACTATTTACACACCCACTTTACTTATTTGGAGACTCGACTCGAACTCTCACCATCTATTTCGGAAGGTAAAAAAGATACCATTAGGCCACAAGGCCCTTGATCTCTCCGGATCAATGTAATAAACTCAAAGCAATTTATGCGTGTAATTTACTCAAATTCCAGAAGAGATTAGTGTAATTTACTTCTTTTCTTTTCTTTTTTTTCTTTTAATCTCACAAGCAAGATATTATTAAAATAGATAATTAATACATATAGCATCCACTACATCTCTCCACCTAGCCTAATGTATATATTCTCAACGGTACATGATATTTTGTTTTTTTTTTGTGGAGAAGAGCCAACTTTCCCAACTCATGAGTTGCACCATCAGAGAAGACAAAAAGACAATTGAAAGTTACTATGTATTGATAATAGCCTCTCTTTGTCCTCTATAACATTAGCTTCAACTGGAGATATACGTTCAAACCCATTCAATGCTCCAACTACCGGTTACACATTGGCCCTCGAATATGAACCGTTGAAAACCATTTTCAATGGCGATGTGTAAAGCTTCCATTAACACTAATTCTTTGTTTGGGTTGGGCCCACAAGTTTTTATTTTTGAAGAGGGAGAGTAACTAGGCAAGTTTGGGTCCAAACCAATTACCACGTGTGTTTGCCGCCTGCCCGACTTGACTCGACCAAGTTCGTCTGGTCTGGAGGCCTAAAATTGAGTATTCTTAAAAAAAATACTCAATTTTAAAAAGAATAATTAATTTGGATTGGTTTTAAGTGTGTGAGTTTATAAGAATTAATAAAGGATAAAGTGGGAAAAACACCCTTATGTTTAAATTTTTGGTAAATATCACCCTTAATCTTTTTTTTTTTTTTGGTACATAAGTGTGTTAACTTTGAAAACATGAGCAAAAGAAAGGATAATGTCAGAAAATCACATTTGTATACCCTTTTGATCTCCCCAAAATGCCCTTATACCATTTTACATATAAATATCAATTCCCTATCATTTTGGTTAGGGCACTTTGGTCATTTTACATTTATTTCGTTTTTCACTTCTGTAGCTAAATTATATTAATTTTTTCTTCATTTTAAAATATCCATTAAATCATGACACCTGACGTTAATGTCGGTTAATGTCTATATGTTCTGCGTAACCATCTTAATTTTTTGTGACTAATTTCTATGGTGTATATTTTATTTGAGTGAGAATCCAGCAGAATATATTCCTTCACTTCCAAGGGTAAATTCAGTGTGCCCTAAAAAAGGTACGCATCTTGAAAACATGATTTGTTTGTTAATGGCCATGCACAACATTAGGTAGAGTCTGGTACATAAGTGAGAGAACAGTACAAAAGGAAATTAATTATAAAAAAAAACATGATTCAGACAATAATATTTACAGATCATGCATTTGACATGACTCACACAATAATATTTATAGATCATGCATTTGGCTGCTGATTTATAGATCATGACCTGACATGGTAGGTTTCGATTCTATGCAAGTGGTAGGTCCAAATCTTTTTCACCTTTTTTTATTTTATTTTTGATAGACAAGTAGAAATGGGAATGAAGATTCTATTCAAAAACCCATGTGTAGTTTTATTACTCCAACTCTCAACCTTTCATTGGAAGGAGCAGGACATGTTACTTGGACTACGCCCGTAGGAATTTTTACTACAAAGGAATGAGTGCTTCAAGATGCTTGCTTGCCCATGAGAAAACTTGGTTCATGAATAGCTAACCATGGTTAAGAAATCACTAAACGCGGAGAGGTTCGGTTAGGGTTTGGGGGGCCAAATTTGGAGGTAAAACTAATAAAGGTTTAGCTAAATGGTCCTCCAAGATGACGCTTTTGCTTCGGAGAGATACGTTCAATTAGGGTTTTGGGGGCCAAATTTGGAGGTAAAACTAATAAAGGTTCAGCTAAATGGTCCTCCAAGATTGGGAATAGAAAGAGCCCTGGACAATAGAAGGAATACGTTGAATCTAATCTAGATGACTTGGCTAGAGGATAACTTCAGGAACAATATCATAAAATCTGGGCCATTCTCAATTGATCTGGTGCTGCTCCAGAGTGTCACTCTACTCGTTCTTCCTTGTCTCACCCGGGCGCTGATGGATTTTCAGACGCGTGCTAGACAATCAAAACAAGGGCAGCATCGTTGGCTGTCTGGGATCTTGGTGATGTCGATATACCCGAAGAGGATAATACACGGCTTGTTTGTAAGATAGACAACCTGGAAAATCTTGTCAACACTGAAAATCAAAGTAAAGTCCAGATATGAAAATCTGGTTTTATGCTAGAGTGAATGTGTGTGGAAGCCAAGTCTAGGCACAAGTGACGGGGGCATGGCTTACCTAGGTCCCATCAGGATGGTACATACAATGCTGAAGTGAAATAAAGGTGAAACTCTAGGCTTATGATAGTCTGCTCCAAAGCAACTCCCCAGTTCTAGATCTCACTATGTCAATAGACCAGTTCACTTTGTTGCCAATGTTTTAAAGAAACACCAAAAGCACAGTCAAAAGGAATTAGAGGCAATGAAGTTTTGGGCAAATAGTCCCAAACTCGAAGCATCACTTAATATACAAATATTCGATAAAGGTCATTATGTCACTAAATCTTAGCACAATTTTGTCCAAACCATTACCCACCCTACTTACAGACGTCGCAAGCTAGCAGCTGCTTCAGAGAGCGAACCCAAAATGCTCTCACCAACCTCATGTTTACATAGGGGACATAATGCATTAATCTTTAGCCACTTGTCCACGCATTCCCTGTGGAAGAAATGAGTACATGGCAACTCCCTAAGCTCATCATTGTTTGCATACCTAGCCAAGCAAATGCAGCAAACCTGCAACAATAAAAAAACTAGTCATTAACGTAGTTATTTAAGGGAAATAATGGTGCTCTGCTTACTGCAACCAAAAGAACCTTCCACGTATTAAAAATCAAGGTTTAATTATATAAACCTTTATCAATCTATTATTAACAATTGGTGCATGTCATCATACTTGCTCAGGAAAAAAATATAAGCCAACATTGGATTTAATGAAAGAAAATATACAGGGCTCCAAGATGACCCAAACAACCATCTTGCTCTAGGTATTTTCATGAATTACATTCAATTTGATTTTTTTGTCCGAAATTTTGACTATCTTAAAACTTCTTGACAAACAATAATTACTGTCCAAATTCAACCTTATGCACAAAAAGTCCAATAATTTTTAAAAACTTCTTGAAATAAAAGAATTACATTGTCCAAGTTCAACCTTGTGCACAAAAAGTCCACTAATTTTAAAAGGTGTCAGTATCGTATTTTAATTCTGATTGGTACAGGAATTAACTGCCGAGCCAATTTAAAATCCTTGATCTAAATTTCTATAACAAGGCCCAACTATTAGCTGCTTTTTCCCATATAAACACTCGCTAAAAGCATGATAGAAATCGCATCAACAACACACGCACCGCATTTGCATACAAGAAGATGAAAAAACTGTACAGTCAACACTACATGGTTGGATAAATCAAATTTTTAAATGCATACATAGAGACCCATGAGTAGGCAAGAACTATTCATCTATATTGAATTTTTATGTTGCTCTTTATCAGAAACTACTACTATTCCTCTTTCTGACTTTTCTTATTAAGTATTGTATGAAGAGAAAAGGGGGAGCAGCAATTCTTATTTCTTCAAAGAAAGTGTTCGGCTCCTCCAGGAGTCCTCCTCACCAAAAAATAAGATAACAAAATAACCAATTTGCAGCAACACATTCAGGAAAGAAAAAATATTGATAATAATAATAATTTGCTGCCAAACTATGAAGAACACTGTTGGCTTTTCACTAAGAAAGAGGAAAATGAGGCTCACAAAAAGAGAGCCTCATTTTTTCAGTGAAAAACAAGGCAGCGACCTTCCATACAATGAAGTGGTACAACAGTTCCTATGACCCAACAAACTAAGGGAGTTCAGAAAAAAAGAGGAGAAGGACTCATTATTATTATTATTATTATTGTAAAAGAGAGGAGATGGACTTACTGCATCTTCTCCTGATATCACCCGTTCCTTTTCTGTTCCTGCAGCCACAACCCCTCCCTCACCTGCACCTGAGTTGATTTCTCTATCATTACCATTTTTACCTTTCTTTATCTTAAACTTGTAGGTTGGCAAAGAATTTATCGATTCTGATGTGGCTCCTTTATTTTGAGTCAGATCCTCTCTGAAGCCCAGGATGGAAATTATACAAGGGAAGCAGCAGCAGATTGTAGCACACAGAATAAATGGCATCGCGTATCCGATACAGCTAAAAGTAAGAAACACTATACACAACCTGCAAAGGGAGAAAATGCACAGGTTGAGCTCCCAAAAAAGAAAAAAAGAAAAAAAGAAAGAGAAGGAGAATATGTTAGAGGTGCTAATGAACAGTACGTGTACAAGTTGGGAGCCTCAGAGGCAGAAGAGTGCCCCCCGAAGACCCACACGTTGCCAACCACAAACCATACTGCAAAGAAGCAATCCAAAGCCATCTTGATGTATTCCACCAGTACCTTGAGTCTGCAAGAAAAAACAAGCTGATTTATCAAATGTAATATCTAACAGTAGCATTTCTATGTATCTTGCACCATTCAATAATAAAGAGAGAAATTTGCCCAGCCTCTCAAGAGCACAAATTTCAAAAGCATAAATAATAAATACTATTTTATTTTTTTGTTTTGAGAAGTATAAATGACGAATAATTTGAATGAGCAAATGATAGTATTCTATCATATAACTAACAGCAGTAAGCCTTATCAAATGAAAAAATTAGCTTTGAACACTAAGCAGTTGAATGAGGCATGGTCGAACAAATTTTGGAAACTGGTCTTCATCCATCTAATTTAAAAACCCTTGTTTTCACTGATGTCTGTCCAATTACGACAGTTATTAAGGACCATCAGAATGTATAGAAGCAACGACTGAAAACCATTATGTTGAGGTAAGGATTACCTCAAACTACTAAAGGATACTGTTTTAGAAGGCTGACTGGCACCCCTATGATAAATATCCCAAAGAAGAGCTCATTGTCATACTAATGCTACCTCATGCATAACCATACTTGGTCCCTTTCCTTGAGAGAATGCAATACAAAATTATTTTACATGTCATATATATAACAGTTGGGAGTTTATTACCATCTAAAACTTTCTCCACTCACTTCTGAAAAGGTTCCTGCCAATTAGTAATAAGAAGTTTACCCTAAAATATCTCACTCAATAAAGTGACGGTTAAAGTCTAACAAAAAGACAGAATTCTATTGACTGGTTTGGATGCCAACGAACTATGTCAACATTTCTCTGGTTCTGTACATATCTATGACCTTTTCTTAACATAAAATCTCCAACCAAGCAACCAATCATGATATTACAGTCTATCATCCTCTAAAAGGAAAGAAACCTCTGAAAGGAACTACTTTTCCATGCTTTCTGGAGGTTCTGGCAAATAATGAATGTATGGTTATATAATTAGATATATAGTAATTATCGGGTAACTGACCTTAAGAACACACCTAAATTAGTCAAAAAAAAAAAAAAACTTACAGGATCAAAATATGATGAAGGAAAAAAGAAGAGGTGAGGACATTTTCCTCATTTGGCAGGAATTAGGAAGGTAATAGGAATGGAATGAATTGGAAAGGGAATAAGTCCCTCTGGCCTACATACACGAATCCATTGGGGCTTGAACCCCAACCTCCCCTTTGGAGAAATGACATGTCAGTCGAGCCAATAGTTTGATGGTTACTTTTTGACCTTTTTCTTTTCAAACTAGACCCTTATCTACATCTAATACGTTAATATGTAACGGTATAATCATAATTAAGCAAGTGGCCTCTCTTTCCTTCCCTCCCTTCTGCATAACCAAACAGCAAAATTAATAACAATTTCCTTTCTACTAAACCAAATGGAAGGAGGCAAAAGAAACCAGTATCCCACCCTTTCCTTGCCTTTTCAACCCCTCTTACCTCATATATCCTCTCAATTTTCTACCCCTCCAACCAAAGAAAGCATTGCACTGGACAAAGACTAATTAACCGTCCCAACCAAAGAAAGCATTAGACTGGACAAACACTAATAATAAGCGAACCAAATTCAGATGAAAGGAACTCTCCCCAAGCTCCTTTTTAACATGCACCTGATAATGAAATTGTCAAAGCATCATGGCCAATTTAATTTTCAAATTTTCGTTCCTTTTCATCTGATTGATCAGAAGAACTTTTTTGTTTTCATAAGATGAAAATGTGAATTATTCAATTACAATACAAAGATTAAACAAAAGGCAGAACGATCTTCCTATACAAGTCATGCATTCAAACTAAGTCAGCTTCCTCAAGTTATTCACAGAAAATGTTGCCTGTTGACAAAGCTTGACCAAACTCAACTTGACCTTGCCAACAGAATACACATTTTGGACAGGAAGAAATGAAATTGCTAGTATCAAATTGATATGTGATAGACTGATAGTTTAGCGGCTAGGATAGGGACAAAATAGAAGTCACCAAAAATGGGAGGTAGATGGAGTGAAGAAATGAAATTGCCAGTATCAAATTGATATGTGATAGACTGATAGTTTAGAGGCTAGGATAGGGACAAAATAGAAGTCACCAAAAATGGGAGGTAGATGGAGTCGTGTAGAATAGGAACCTAAATTTTCAAATTAATCAAAAGATAAATTCTACAAGTATGTGGAAAAGTATTTGACTCTTAAAAGTACCTATAAAATCTAGATTTGCTTATGTACATGCACGAAGACTTTCCTTCCCATCAAAGTTGAACTATATGAAGAAATATGTTATTGTGTCTGCCCATACCTTAAGACTCCCTTCAGATTGAAGGAATTGAAATGAATGGAATTAGGGAAAATTACCCTCATCTCCCCCCAGGTTTGAGCTTATCACCATGAGATTAAAGATTTTAAAAAATCGTCATGACACTCCCGTCAGAGTTAGCAAATATAACAGACTAACATTTTCTGGGAATTTACTAATTTACCCTCCTTTTTACTATATCATAATAAAAATGAAAAAAAAATAAGAAATGTAACATAACAAAAAAAGACTAAAAACCCCAAAGCCTTCTCTTCAATCCTTCCATCTTCACAACCAACCTCGTGTCCAAGACAACCTTTAAGTGAACCCACTGTTCTTCTTCAGATCAGATCTCAAAACCTTCATAGACTCTGCATCAAGAGCTTGTGAGATATAGAAGATCGGATTTATGTAATGTTACTTGGGTTACTGGTGTAGGATGGGAACGACCCATTTGTGATCAAGACTTGGTTTGAAATGTTGATGATGGTTAACGGGTCATAGAAGAATGTGAGTTCTTTGTTGGGGTTTTTGGTACAGAGGATCAGGTTGAGGACGGTCAACAGTGTGCAATAATATGTAATATAAATGTAATACATACGTATCTACCATAACAACACACTATATATGCAAATTGCAGAAGGATTTGAAGTATGCAAAAGAAATGTTAAAAGTTTTCATCACTGCTTTGACTTTGAAATTCCATGTTCTTCATTCCACGCTCATTTTCTCTGTTTATGATCCCTAAACGCCACCTATATATATATCTCTGTCTCTCTTCACTTTCCAAATTAAACACACCACCAACAACCTCGTTTAGTTTCCGTTTATTCCATCTATATATATGTATATATATAAACATGCCCATTATATCTATCAATATGGTGGATTTAGATTTGAAATCCAAGATTGCGCCCCCTGGTATGACCAACCAATCGTCTAAAATTCTCAAATGAACTTAGTATTTTAGTACCATACCCATTTCATGCCATCGATTTCTTGTCTGCATCCGATTCGGCGTGCTCGTCTTATGAGCCACTACCTTCATCTTCCAGAGCTGCAGCAGCTTTGCAATTCCAATTCTCTGTATCTCTCACACTCATTGCATACTAATAAAAAAGGCATAATATATTATGTTTTGGAAGTGATGGGCATCTCGGCAATGGAATTCCTTTAATACATGCCACAGCAGGAGAAGGAGAAAGATATTTGGATTTCATTAAAATCAAGAGAGGGAGGGTCACAAGCTTTTGGCATCTGCAAGATCAGAGTTGTCACAAGTATAACAGAGCTTACCTTTTATATTTTTATTCAGAAGGGTGTCTATGAGCAGAGGTGGTTGCTTGGTTGAATCAAAGGGATCTTCTTTGCATGAAGCTTCTATTATGACAACTGTCCACTAACCTCCACAACTAGTAGGTACTTCAGACATCCTTTTCAAAATCCATGTTTCATCAACATGCAGTTTTTGGTACAGCATTTAAACTGCAGACATCCTTTTCAACATTGATTAAAAAATGTACATCATGTTACTTTCTTATACATAAAATAGAGTTCTTTTAAATTATTGTCTTTTGCTTTCTGTGTCTAATTCTTTCTTATACATAAAATAGAGTTCTTTTAAATTATTGTCTTTTGCTTTCTGTGTCTAATTCTCTATTCTTTCCTGACTCAGATCTCTAAGGTCCCCTCCAGATTCTTTGGAGGATAATCCTTATTGTTGCCAAGTTAGGGCATTCGGTTTAGAAGGAGGTGCTTTATGCTGCCTATGGAGTCTGCAGAGGAAAGAGTGCAAGATTGTACAAAAACTGGGATGGTGTTACTCGTAGCTAGAGGTCATTTGCTTCTTCAGCCTAAATTTTTCTCCACTTTGTAAACAGCTTACGTTCCCCTTCTTGATCCTCTTCTAATAACTTATTCACTTGATTCAACACCCAACCCCCCACCCCCAACACACACACACACACACACACACACACACACCTCTTAAAAAAGGGAACACACAAATGTTGTCACCTAATTTGATATTCCTATCATCCTTGCAGTGTGAGAATTAAAACGGTGAATCTGAATCTAAAACTGCTGCCAATCCTTCTGAAAGGAGCATCTTATTCCAGTTAACATCAAATTACAAATTAGACAGGTAAAAAACAGAGGGCAGCACCAACAAGGGTAAACATAGTTCAATTAATAGCAATAGTCCATACCTTGTAGTGAGTATTTCCACATTCAGGCCAAATCTAGATGGTGTCCCAGTACTACGTCGATCTTCCCCTTCTGAAGTCCTTGTACTAAAAATAGATGAATAAGATGTAGGTCTCACAGCAAGGTTGCTAACAGAAGAACCCTGATGAGGCTGAGATGAATCTTGGTCTGAAGTCTGGTTGCGATGAAGATAACGCCAATACAGAATCGGGAGCGTTGCAACACATCCGGATGCATAACCCACAACCCATGCAAACAACGGAGCATGTGGGCGCTCGTGCTTTGACAAAGATAACACGACAATTGATGCAATAATCTGGCAAACTGTTAGACCAAGTTCAATAGAAATCCACAGACCAGAATTTAATGGATTCCTACGGTGGCGGCCTTGCCTATCCCCTCTCCTAATAAATGATGAATTTCTAGAGGTTGATCCATTGGCAGAAGATGCTGAAGGTTGAAAAACTGGGGTCCTCACACTAGTAGAAGGTCGGTCTTCATGTTGCAGCGGATCTATGCCACTAAATGGTCTATCATGGGATGAGCTAGAAGAGGAAGCATCAATGCTACTTGTTATGTCAATAACGTGCTGAGTGACATTGTGGTTTTCTGGTCGATCCATTAAGAGTGACAGTTTATCAACCTGGCTTTTACGATGTAGTCCCAGTAAGGTAATTGCCATCTAAGTCCACCAACAAACTATGGAGTAAAGAACACATGGATGGTGGAATGGAAAAAAACAACTTCAGATCCCAACTCTCAACCGTACTTAAACTAGTCCTATATGATCACCCAGTCATACACTTGTGTACTCAGCAATTGGCACAAGAGATGGAGAGATATAGCCAAATTTTATCCTGCTGGAGAAGCAAAACAACAACAATATCAAAATCGTAATTGTAATCTCTTCCCCTCTAAAGCATACACACAATTTTTGTTGCCATACAAAACTAAAGAAAAGAAGAAGAAAAAATGAATCTTATACAAGTAGAGGATATAGTTTCCTATAAATGGATGGGGGAGGGAGAGAGGAATTGATCTCAACTGACAAAAAAAGTTGTTTTAGGAACCAAAATGGAGATTATAAACAATGAAAAACCTGAAATAAAATTTCAATTCTTTTCATTTTCTATTTTCTCAGCAATCAAACAGGACATGAAGGAAATATCAGAGGAAAATAAGACTATGAATTGAATACTGGTGTTTGATCTAAACAGAGTAATAAACAGTTAAATTTGACAATTCAGTGATCAAATCGAGCCACACTGTTTATAGGTCATATATACACATAAAATTAAAGGGAAAGAAGAAGAAAAAATTAAAAATTAATAAAAAAACACATGCCCGTGGAACAACTAGTTCTTAATCAAATTTAGTCAATTAATCAGCACCAATGAACAGAGACTAAAGAATAATATTCAGCCGCCAGAATAAGAAGTGATGGTAAAACTCAAAACTTTGAAGAACAAATCATAGATTACATATTACATCTTCTGCTCCATCATCAGAACAATAACTAAAACCCTAAAATTAGAGAACGTTGACTATCGTCAATAAAAACCATCAAACCCTAAATTAACCTTAAAAAACAATCGATTGGCACTTAAAATCCTCCAATACAATCAATCAACTGACAATTCAACATAATCAGTCCATATCGATGAGAACAATAAGAAACAGTGTTTCAATCTTGAACCCTGTGTATGGTTTTTTCACAAATTGAATCGATACATACACACAGGTATAGAGACGTAGATTGTATAGTGAAATTCGTAGAGAGATAAAGAGTTAAAGATAGTACTGACCAGTGGCGGCCATAGAAGTTAGAGCTGAAGAAGAAAAAAAATCAGAGCAATCTTGGTTGAATGGATGGTTGATTTACCCACAGTACTAGGTTACGTTTGTTTAACGCGCTTTCTTTCTCTCCTTTGGGAGATTTTTATATAGCGTCAGCTTACGACATCCGTTGCTTCACTACGGCGTCTGCGAATATGGACTTAATGATAATAAATAAATCCTCAAATTTGTCTATCGATAGCTTCATTTTTTATAACTAAGAAACAATTTACACCAACTCATTTTTTATAAAAGGAAATAAAAATCTAACTAATAAACTTAAATAAAAGTTATAATTAATATATTTCGATTTATGAAATTAGACAACAATGAAAACAACAATGAAAAGTAAAAGTTACTCGGATAGAGATCCTATCTTAATATGTACCAATCATCAATCTCAAGCCCAAATAACTTAATTTTACACAATCCAAAGGTAGACAATGTAATCGGTAAACATCTTACCAGCATCATTTCCCCCAAACAATACACGTCCTACGCTGGGCTAGCACCATTATAATTTGTAGGTCCTTCCACAATATATTAGGAGATTTCATTTTGAAAATAAAGGTTATGTTTGATTTGTAACTCTAAAAAAAGAAAAAAAAAAAATTATTAAAAAACTCTATTTAATTCAGTTTTTAAAAAACTGTGTTATAAAAATGCCTCATTTTAAATAACTATAAAAGATAAAAGATTGTTTTCCGATAACAGTTTTTGTTGGATTTATGGTTCAAAATTTGTGTGCAAAAAATTAGTTTTCTTTTTCGTTTTTAAAGGTTGAAATTTGTAAAGGAAAGTGTATCCCATTATATTTCTATTTTAGAGTTTTTATCATTATGGTAACTTCTAAGTCGAGGAATACTTGTCTAACAAGGAATTGGTTTTGAAGACTCTATAAATAGAGATGGGTGTGAAGGGTTGAGAGAAAGAAAGAAAAAAAAAAAAATATATATATATATATATATGTAAGGGGTTTAAGGGTGAGTGTTGTGAGGAGAGTGAAGAGTGTAAGTAATTTCCGAGTGTATACATGTAGCCTCAAAAGAGATGATGAGTGAGTGAGTGAGTGGGGTCTTGACATGTGGTTGTATATTCTCTTCCTTATTTCATAATAGTGAAATCTCTCTCTCCCATGGACGTAACTCTATTATTGGGTGAACCATGTAAGATATTGTGTTGTACGTGAATGTGTATAATTGTTATCTCTATATATGCTTATGTTAACTCTATTATTGGATGAACCATGTAAGATACTGTGTTGTATATGAATGTGTATGATTGTTATCTCTATATATGCTTGTGTTAATGTGATGTGATGATGCTTCCACTGTATGTGATGAATAAGGGATTTAAATCTCAACAACAGCCGACCGTTGAGTGGGTTAAAGGGAGTTAATTTTTCCCAACAACTGGTATCAGAGCCGATGGTGGGTCAGAGCCTGTGATTGGTCCTGAAGATCAGTATAAGAAGATTATTGCGAAGTTTGTTAGAGCATAAGATGATCGTGAAGTGCTATGGAGATTCAATCAAGAGTTAATGATGACACGAAGATATGAAGAATGTGATGGTGTAAAGCCCAGGAGGAACAAGTTTTGGGACAAGTCAGAGGATGCTCATTTTCAATATGCGCAAAGGTGATAGAGATGAAGACCGCGAGGAACAAGTTTTGAGGACAAAACAATAATGAGTGCTAGTTCTCAATATGGGGCAAGGGGTGTGATGAATGAAGGGGTTTGCTCTAAGTTTAATAAAGAGCAAAGGGGAATATGAAGAGTAAAGAGGGGAGGTTTGTTGCTTTGATCCAGAAAAATAATTGATGAAGATGAGTTTGAAGATTGGTGGGTTACCATATGTGAGCAATTGAACACCAATGAGATGGATAGAGAATATAGAGAAAAGAAGAATGATGAAATTTGAGAAAAGGTGGAGACTGTTAGAGTGTTTCTCAAGTTCATCATAGTGCTTTATTTGAGGTGGAGAAATCTTCAGTTGAGGTGGAGCTATGAATAGATCCTTATTCGAGGTAAAGTTATGGAGAAGCACGTGAAGATTGAATTTTGGGCCAAGGTGGAGATTGTTGGGTTTATGGCTCAAAATTCGTGTGCAGAAAATAAATGTCCTTTTTCGTTTTGGAAGGCTGAAATTTGTAAAGGAAAGTGTATCCCATTATGTTTCTATTTTAGAGTTTTTATCATTATAGTAACTTCTTGTAGGCAAGTTGAGGAATATTTGTCCAACAAGGAATTGGTTTTGAAGACTCTGTAAACAGAGATAGGTGTGAGGGGTTGAGAGAAAGAGAAAAAAAAAATATGTAAGGGGTTTAAGGGTGAGTGTTGTAAGTAGAGGGAATAATATATGTAATTTCCGAGTGTATACATGTAGCCTCAAAATAGATGATAAGTGAGTGAGTGGGGTTTTGACATGTGGTTGTATATTCTCTTCCTTGATTCATAATAGTGAAATCTCTCTCTCCCATGGACATAACCCTAGAGTTGGGTGAACCAGGTAAAATATTGTGTTGTGCGTGGATGTGTACGATTGTTATCTTTATATATGCTTGTGTTAATGGATATGATGATGCTTCCGCTGTGTGTGATGAATGAGGGATTTAAATCTCAACAACAACCGACCGTTAAGTGGGTTAAAGGGAGTTAATTATCCCCAACAATTTTATGAGTTTTTCAAAAATTATTTTCAGAGTTATAAACTAAGCATATCCAAAATGTTCCATAATAATGAATTATGTCCATAACTATGATTTCCAATATAGTAGATCTTGTAGCACTTGTCAATAAAGTAATTCTTTTTTAAAGAGCCGCTGTAATACCCCTCATTTTAAAATGATAGTCTCGATAGTTTATTTTATGGTTTTATTGTAATTTGTGTGTTTGTATGTAGTTATTTGGCCATTTGTTTACTTGTTTTATTTAGTGTTAATTAATTGAATTAATTGTAGTATTTGTTTTATTTAAATCGAATTATTTAATTGAGTATTTGTTTTAATTTTTCTTTCTTTATTATATGCTTATGTGGATTAATGAATTAATTGTTTTAATGGTTTCGTATTCATTATAATTCTATGGATTTTATGTTTCACGAATTAGCCGACTAGGTTTATTTTTGGTTGAGGTTTCTGTATCATAATATAGTAGAATTAGGTTTTCCTTAAACCTTTATAAATATAGCAGTAAACGTCGGCTTAGGGTTTAGAAATCCAAAACCCTGTTCACGTATACAGAGAGACGGAGAGAAACAGAGTACTTTGGTTAGGGTTTAGCTAGGACTGAGGCTAAACCAATGAGAGAAGGAAGGAGTGGGGTTCGTGGTTGCAACCAAGGGCAACAGAGGAGTCGGGAATAGTAGGAATCGCTGGAAAACTTAGGAAGACGGCGTAAAGATTTTAATTCAAAATCTCGCAGGCAAATTCTATTCCTAACTCATTCTCTTTGACTCGTGTTCTTTACATGCCTAACACAACTCCAGGATAAATAGACATTAAAGATTAATCTGGTTCGCATGTTAATTTCAATTATAACAGTATGCCTTTACTCGAATTGGTGTTTGTTTGTTTGTAAATTTTCTTACATAATTCATGTTTTAATTGATGTTATTTGATGCACAATGAATTTAATAAACTGTTGGGACTGTCTGGAACCTAGAACAGAGGGTTAGGAACCTTAGCAAGGACAATCAGAAAGTCAGAAAACAGCCGGCGTCGGGGAAGACGAAGGCTAGGAAGAGTGGAGGCGGCTCCACATGATGTAGAGGCGGCTCCAAGGGAGTTGAGCCTACTTTACCTAAAAGTTGAGCCCGCTCTACCTAAATTGAGCCTCTTCTACCTAAAAAGTTGAGCCCCCTTTACCCAAGTTGAGCCTCCTCTACCAAAAAAGTTGAGCCTCCTCTACCTAAGTTGAGCCTCTTCTACCTAAGTTAAGCCCCATCTACCTAAAAGTTGAGTCTCCTCTACCTTAAATTGGAGCCTGCTCTACATCTTTTTGGAGCTTGCTCCTTTGTGGATTTTCAATTTGTTTTTAATTTCAGCAATGGATTTTACTCCTGTACTTGGATTTTGATGTTCCAGTTTAATTAGAAGCCATATTGGAGGTTCTCAGAGGTGTCCTGAGCTTATTTAAAACTCCCAAAAGCCTTATTAGTGCATAATAAACCACCTTGTATTATAGTTTGAATAGTATAAAATTCTTACACAAATTGGTAAACTGTTTTAACGTGGAGGATTAAAATTGTTCATTATTGTTTTAGCAATTTTTCGAGAATGATTTTATAATTTAAATCATGTTCCAGTGTTATAAATAAGCATGTGAATTTATATATTCTATTATGCTTACTTGGAATTAATTGATGTTTACATGTAGGATCTGTATTATCAATTATTGGATTGTGCAGAGTTGTATCAAATAAGCCTATTAAATTACAGAATTTTATCATATTTAGTATGGAACAATTGATGTTATTATTTGATATTTTAATTATCAATTATTGGATGTATGGATTAGTTGATATTTACATTCCTTGTCTGTATTATCAACTGCTGGATTGATGGATTGTATGCACCGGTATGGGATGGTGGCATACTAGGGGGATTAGCTAAAAAACGCTAAGTCCTACCTACTATGGAATTAAGGAATGGATTAACTAAAAGTTAAATCATATTGATTTGTAATGTCAGGGCAACGAATGATTGAGCGGCACTACTATGGATTCTGGATGGATTTAAAATATATTGTTATGGTACCTCGATATGAGCTTGAGTCTCAGGATCGATGGTTAGGGCGCGTATATGCATTGGGATGCATAGCTGATAATGATGATTGAAGGTGTACCCTGTTAGGCTTAGGTATACATGCCCACTTTAGGTGCGTTTTGCATGTTGCCTCTATTTAGGTTAAAACCGACCTGTAGTCCAGTGAGAATCCTTTAGTGTGAATATATATATTTATTTACGGACTATATAGTTATTGTTGAGTTGGTTAGGATGCATATGTGTAATACCCCGTAATTTTAAAGAGTGTATTTAAATTAAGTTTGTGTTAGGTTAATTCTTTAATGTGTAGATTTATTCACCTTGTAATTATATATGTTAGATTAGTTAATTAATTTTATTTATTTGTGC